TCACGCAATTCAGAACACTTTTTTGCATTATTTATCAATTCTATAGCCAAATCATTTGTACTCGTACAAATTGGCGTGAAAGCCGTGTGTGCGCGCAACATCCGGTTGGAGATTTACCGGTAAAATAAAATTCCAAAAGTTTAGACCCACGGAGGTGTACTAGAATCTCCTTATAGACCGATCTTTCAGTTTTGCACAAAAATTCACAGTACGAACTGCACATTATGAAGGTCGTATTTACACCGAACGAGGGTTTCACCACGTTTTCGAAATTATAAAATGAATTCAAAAATTTCGAAAATGAATCTAAAATTTGAAAAAAATGTTGGAACTTGGAACACCAGTGCATGCAAATCAGTGGTGCCTTGATACTCGTACAATGCAAAAAAATGTGCCTGCCGTGATACAATGCAAAAAAATGTGTTTTTGAGAGCACGAAAGCGAAAGTTTCAGCATTTGTACCCGAATTTAATTTGGTACCAGGTAGCGGCACATGCTCCCTTTGATTTCTTATTTTTGAGTTATTTCAGATTTTCTCTCGTGCATTGGCAAACCAATAAAACCTAAACTGTCAAAAGCAGTGTCACTTCAGAATGATATTTTCAGAAGTCAAGCTCTCAGCGCAGCCGTAAATAAATCAACCGAAAGCAGCGCTTCGTAAGCACGGCTCTGGTTCGTCAAAAAAAAAAATGTGCTTACTTCGTGGACCACTCACCAACAAATCACTCATACTTTACGGGTTAAATTACGGAACACCTGCTTCTTACGTGGCGTGTTACGTACCAGTTCGTCAAATTTCGGTCAACTGAGCAATAATTAATGCAAAATATGCTAGACTAAGGTGAAAAGTGCTGCAGTTTTTTAGTGAACTTTTACTTTTGCAACTAAAGTAGTTCTCAAAAAAATCAGATTCATTGGTGATGTGATGTATAAGTGATCTGTTGGCGAACGGTATCGAAGCAGTTGCCGGGAGAAATACATGTACATGAGATGCCAGACCTACATTTTAATGCTGGACGCAACACTGCTCTCTTTCTGGCGTCTCTCCCATGGAATAAACTGATTCGGTTACAGTGACCGTTACAGCCATAGTCACAGGGATGTCTTTTCTTAACACCCACGCGAAGATCGTGTTGAATTACAGAGTAACTTTTGCATTTATCCAAAGCATTTTTTAAAAACTGCTTTACTTTAACTGCAAAATGGAAACCGTAAATTACGTTTCCTTATAGCTGCTTTCCCTTGTAGCCTGCTTAACTGGTTTTTGTTTTGCATAGGCAACGTTCTTCTTTCTAAGCCGGGATTTTCGTAAGGAAATCAATTCCCTTTTCAAAATGCAGCCGCCCAGTCGCAGACGACAGTGTATTTCTGGAAACTCGAATCCGCAACAGTCCTTTAAACGCGCAGCCTCGGCGACCGTTGTACAACATCCTGCTGCGAATCAAAACCGGCCAAAGTGACGTAGTCTGGATTGCCGCCCTCAATCTGCTTTTTTTAATGCAAAATTTACTGCGCTTTTCTGGTTAATTGCACGACGGATTTTCCAGTTACTCTTTGTTTTTACAGCCGAATGATTTTAGCCAATGGCATTGGCTTGTACAAGTTCATAATAAAGTAAAGCATTTTAGTCAGTTTAACAAGTGCGAGTAATTCCGCAATATGTCACTTACCCTATTGGCTGTTGCCAGGCCCGCGTTGGAGGGGGGCGGTGGGGGCGGCCGCCCCCCTTTTTTCGATTTTTGGCCGCCGGGGGGGACGGCGATTTTTCGGTTTTTGACCGCCGGGGGGCGAATTTAAAGTATGGCGCCCCCCTTCCGCACCCCTCCGCCCCCACCAGTTTCTGGCCGCCACCCCGGCGAATTCTAGCCAAAACGCCGCCCCCCGGCGGCATTCCGCCCCCCCCCCCCTACCAAAAAACCCCAGCGCGGGCCTGGCTGTTACCAGAGTCATTGCAAAGCATTATGAGCTGTGTTGCAATACGCGATGTACGAGAAATGCCGTTGGTTTAGCATAATTATTTCAATAATTTCATTATGATTCATTGATTCTTGAAAATAAAAGATAAAACATGAAAAAAATTTACCGAAAAAATGAATATTCTGTGGAGAAATATTGCTTTCCTCTGGACAGGAATGGGATGGGTTGGCGTTTACTTTGTTGCTATTATTTTATAGAAAAAAAAACGGCTTGTCCACCAAAAAACGGCTCATTTAAAAGCCCAACCGAGTTTGATGTATTAAAACGAATAGTGCGAAATCGCAATAAAGGTCGAATTTTTTTGTGAAGTACCGCGAGTTCTTTTGCAATAAGGGAATTCATTTCGTTAATCAATGTTAATTTTTGTTGAACCAGATGCAAACACAAGGAAGTACATGCACGGGTACAAGGAGGTATGTGCAGATAAAACAGATACACTACACATATAGGTATACCATAGACTGGCACAGAGGAACGCATATGAGTAGTTTTCCATTAATCTGATGTTGCTAATACTGAAATTGTTTTGAATCCGTGTTGTTTTCATCAGCACTCCGCGTGTTTCACTCTGTACTACTACTGAACAGCAGGATAATTTCCGGTGTGTGCTTCGTCCAGTGGTAGACGGTCGACCGACTGCACAGCCCGCATTTGGCAAGTCAATTTAGAGTCCTCAGTTCAGTAAGTGTTCTGGGTTTCTGCTTCATTCTGTACACAACAGATTACGGTCACAAACTTTGCGGCGGACTGTCGCAGTACGGTGATGATATTTGGATAGCGGCACCAGTCGGGCCCGTGATGCGACCGATGAAGATGGGAATGTCGGCCATTTCGTCCCAAATAATCATCAAGAACGGACGATTCGCCACAAACTGCGGCTCAGTTTGCAGGAGACTATACTGTATGTCGCGATATGGGGCCTGCATTGCATTGATACCGTTTTCGCCCAAATCTGGAAAAACAATCAGCTGAGCGATAAAAATGTCCGTCACACGAATGGGCATTGTGACCATACTTAGGAAATTTGAAAATTGACTGACACAAGCCAGTGGTCGGTCGTCTTCAAACTTTGCGGCAGAATTTGGGAATAATAGTGTCTTTTCGTTACTGGCTGAGGATTCGCGTCCTATATTAATTCTGAGCTTCGGTATAATAACGTATTATAGGTTCTCAGTGCTCTTCCGCCGCCACTCTAACAATTTTTCAATGGTCAAGGCTTTTTCCAAGCTACTTATTGGATCATTATTCGTCGCCGGTAGCAGCAGCATAAAGCTGAATTTTCCCTTTTCGGCATGGAAGAGAATCATTTGTGGATCGTCCGCTTCCAATCCATCACATCCGGGAGGAGTATTGTACCCACGACATATCTCGACTGTGCTGATCACAAACTCCACAGTTTTCTCAACATGATTAGAACGTTCCGCTTTCGATTCTCTCGAAAGCAAAATCGGGCCTGAAACACGGCCACAGCCGAACGGCTTGCCGAACTGGCACGAAACTCGGTCGAAAATTTTTTGAACGATGTTTTTCTCCGCCGCTGGGGTGGAGGTGGCGCGCGTCCCAGACAACTCTTGATAATGTCCAAAAATTTCCCCATTACTTCCACAAATGCACGATCGTTGCGCTATCAGGGTAAGCACTTCGTTAGAGACTGAGAATAAATAAACATAACTGTGATCTACGTTGAATTAAAGTTCGTGGAAGTATCTCTATGTATGATACCAAGAAATCAGACAACCGGGAAAATAAATTTAAAGACTGTTGTTTATTGTGACACAAAACTAGAACGCTCGTGAATTACCTATATAGTGACAAAAGACAACCACTGTGACACACCGAGAGAAATCATGCTGGCTGATTTCGCGGTTATAAAATTGCCATGAATATCACGGTGTGCCATGCGGTGCATGTATGCAATTAAACGGGAGCCTGGCAAAAACATGCCGTACACAGCAAGGACGGATTGATAATAATGTGTTTAACATGCGGTAGTGTACGACTCACATATTTGTACGAATCACCGTCACTAACGTATTTTACAACGTGAACAAACTGGGAAACAATGCATAATACACAATGCGTTAGCTATGCATACATAATGCGTTTATTGCGTACATAATAACATTGCATACATAATAATTAATTAATACATAATGCGTTAATAATGCATCAATAATAGATTATCCATACTGCGATATACAAGTGCATATACATGTTATAGTTTAGCGTGTTTCTTTATATTTGTGTATCGCGTTTTTCATTCGACCAGTAAAAAAGCCACCATATTCATGTAGGTGTTCACTTAACACATGATAATTATTAATTACTCGTAATCTAAAATGACTGTTTGTACGTATTACATGCATATTCGTATTTTCAAACAGAAAGCAACAAAAAGGAGGTAAAAAAAGGCGTGCTAACGGTAGTATTTTAACGGTTGATTAACGGCAAAGGCTTTTCGAACGGCTTTTTCGAACGGCAAGTGAATGCAAAGGTTACGACGGAAAAAGGCAAAGGCTAAAGTAAAGTTGAAATTAATAGGCAAACTGAAAGGGGAAAGGCAAAGGGCCGTTGAAATATGGAGTGGAAAAAGTAGAAACCAACATAATCGCAAAAAACGGTCGGACTGACTTAGCAACATAAACATACACATCTCAAAGAGATCTTTCGAACAAAAAAAAGTCCCCTAAAATCGGACCATAAATAGCCACAGGACGCTAGTATGAAGTTTCTTCCCCCCCAAAGTAGTTTTTTGAGAAAAACGAGAAAAACGAAGAGCAAACAAACTAAGATCAAGGATATTCATAATAAGAAATTCATAATTTTCTAAAATTATTTTTTGTTAAATTTCTTGTAAACAAAATTCACAATAATTACGTCGGAGATATGGTCAATCGGACGATGTGCGTCCATGTCCAGCATGTAGATGACCACCGGTCAGACATACAAAAAAACCCGTATTTTGCCATAAAGTACGCGTAAAAAATCCTTTAATTGTTGTTTACATTCTTAGGGATGAACGCAGCTGTCCAGCATGTAGCGCAAGGCCAAGTGACCAGTGGTCAATTTCTTAAACCCAGTTATTGCATGACTGAAAATGCTAAAATAAAGGGAATTAAGCTCAGTTTTATTGTCAGCGAGCATAATTTGTCCATTCTTGCTAAGGGACCACTGACCAAAAAGAGTTTGCACAAGAAAAAATTCGAAAAATAATGAAGAAAATTGAAAAAAAAATTCCAAAAAATTGGAGAATTTAAAAAAAATTATCCTAAACGCTTCAAAAATTCGCTTCGGTGATCCAGCAGCACGTGCGGTGAAATTTGCTTTCTCAAGTAGCACATTTGTTTGCAGCAGGGTTTAAGGAAAGAAGTTTGGAGCTTTTCGGCAGCTTTTTGGCTGGTTTTGGTCTTTTCCTTTGCGGGTGTGACGGTGGCGGCCGGGGACGGGCTTGCGGTGAAGTGCGCCATCTCATCCCAGAACGCCTCGTGTGGTTCGTTTTCGATCAGAGAAACGTTGAGCTCTATTATAAAAATCAGAAACCTCAATGGTAAATAAAGATTTATCAGAAAAAGTATTATAGTCTGATTAGCAGTCTAAATAACGAAATAGCTAATTTGTCAATAACAGCACACAGAGCTTAAGGTTCTTTGCGTTATAGTATACTGTGTTAGTGGCGTTTCTTTATAGGTATCAAGAATAATTTTTGCAAAAATTATTTGTTATTATAAGTATATACATCACTCGCTAAATTAAAGTTAATTTCTACGGTGCGGAGTGTACCATCTGAGGCCTGTGAAGTGGAGGGAGGCTGCACAGCAGCCGGAGGTCCCTGTGTCATGGCTGGGGTTTCCTCCGCAGAGTCGCCTTCATCCTCCTGCTCCAGACTGCTATTCAGGTCCCCGTCAAACAGGTTTGACATGCCATCCGTGTCGCAGATATCAGACACATCCAGATTCGTGCTGCTCTCAGTATAGGGCAAAAGCTCCTCTCGTTCATTCTCCTCGAAAATGTTTTGCAGCAGCTGACGCGCTGTGAATTTGGCCATTTGCCACCAATAATCAAGTAAAAACTAGTAACTAAAAGTTTTAGAACTTGTATAAATAGTATAAACAAATAAAACAAACCATTGCGCATGCAAACAAACGAGCGCTGCCGTCCACAAAAATTTACAGCAAGTTTATATTCACACTGCTGTTGTTGCGCTGCACAAAGAAAAACAGGGTGATTGCGCAATTTTGGACACTGTACGGCCTACGGTTGACCAAACTGACCACCGACAACACAGGGTGGTAGAGCACTATTTTCTCTATAGTATAGCGTTGAAAAGTCGATTTGGCCCCCCAGTCCCCCCGGACCATATTTTGCTCTGTACTGTAAAATGCGTTTTGCAGCGATTATGCTGGTTCTACTTGTGTCACTTCATATTATTAACCAGACGGTGACGGGCACGCTGCGTGTATTGTACGCCCGGATACCATGAGGCTGCTAAGCTGTGTTGGTGGTTTATTTGTGCCTTTTCCAGCGGCGCAGTTATAAACATTTTGTTTTCTAATTCATTTTCATACCTGTAGACACTAGTTTGTGGAAGCTCATTCTTTTGTGGTAACGTAGCAGACAGATACTGTACATGTAACAGAAACGTGCGTACCAATGTAAGTACTAAATGTACCAAACTGCTCATAATTAAAGTAATTTACATAGGTAGTCGGTAAGGACGTGAGCGTCAGCACGAAGTCCATTCCTAGCTGCGATACTGGCAAAATGGCTGCCGAGCTGTCCCGGCCTTCTTGCAGACCATTGCCTTGCCACTGTGGTCCTTCGCACAGCATGGATAGTGGTTGCAGTCGTCATGAAGACGTTCAATGCAGTAGTCCTTTTGGCCGTCATACGTTTCCGGATCGTCTTTATTATACCAATCAATAGTCATCGCGATCCCTCTTCTACAAGAAAAACGTTGATAACAGACCCGAAACTGCATAGAAATGCAGTGTTGACTGTAATTTACGTATACGATGTAGGCAGATACCTTTTTCGCGTTCCCTTCCTGAATAAAGGAGAAAACAATAAGGCTAGCCAGAGCTAATATGTACAGGGAAAGCTTCATGGCTGATAGACAAAATTCTAATCTGCGAAAAATTATAGTCGTAATAAATATCGTGATAATACGATCCTTGTTACAACAGTACCGGCAAATGAGCAGGAGCGTAACTAAGATATCAACACTGAAACTCGAGAGCTTTTGTATCCGTGTGTCCGCTCAGATGTTTCGTACTTGTTAGATTCTGTACAGGCACCTCACGTACCTGTACGTACTTGTTGTCTTAACTGTTAGGTATCTGTACTGTCATTAGAAATTAAGAAAATCGTTGTTTATTTCTGACAACTGGTTTCAAAAGTTGACCAGCGACAGAATGAAATGCTATAACTGACACATTCCAGGGTTGTTTACCATAGTCTTGGTGTGTTGTTTTCGTGATATAATTTTGATGAATTACGGTGACTAACTGTTTCCACATACCTTCTGCCAGATGCCGTGCGATAAAACAGGATAACTGACACATTCCAGGGTTGTTTACCATAGTCTTGGTGTGTTGTTTTCGTGATATAATTTTGATGAATTACGGTGACTAACTGTTTCCACATACCTTCTGCCAGATGCCGTGCGATAAAACAGGTAATTTTTGGCAGTCGATGGTAGCCAGGTAAAATGTCTGTGGTGTAGTGAATGGTGTTATGGATACGTTATTAATGACACTGCTCTCTGTTGCCAGCATTTGTAACAATCAGTAGATTTTGAAATTATTACTAGTGCGTTGCTTGACACTGGCAGTCTCTTCATGACAGCACCACCAAAGAGCCTTTATAACAGTGCTTACCGATCGCGAAGAATTTCCAGGGTAGTTCCGTTCCGTTACCGATTCCATAAAGAACATTTTGTGGTATCGTCAGAGTGCGCGGTATCCACCTTAACTATCCGCATCAACTGGGATCCGTGACGTGACATAAAAACGGGAACATCGTCCATTGCATCCCAAGATAACAATCAAGACCGGACAATTAGCTAAGAGAACCGATATTAATATCGTATTCGGTTAGCTCTGCAAATACCAATCATTTGCATTACAATTAATAGGACAAAAAGATTAAGTAGGCTTTGTGACTTTACCTAAATCTTCCGGCTTCCGGAGTCGGCCAAACTACTTCGTCTCTAGTCGCTCATCCTCTTCCACCGTTCCGGCGGAATTCAGGAACGACCATGTAATTATTCCATGGAGGCCGAGCGCTTTCTCAGCCGGCTTCACATCCACATCACAATTAACTAGTGCGAAAGGTAGGGATAATAACGTGCGCCATGTGATCCCGTGTTTTCTGTCATCACTCCAGTAACTGCTCGCTGGTCAATGCTTTTTTCAAAGCTTTTGCCTTAAGTAGATTTTACCGGTAATACTCGTACCAGCTTAACGCCAGAATTTCTCTCAACGAGATCGAGAATAATTACCTGCCGATCGTCTTCTTCCCGTCCATCGGCATTTAGACTGGATCGGTAAAATATGAAAACCTTATTTCTCATGAACTCCACGGTTTCTCAACATTTATTCGTGTGGGAGACTGTTCCTCTTTTTGTCTCTGTTTTGTCGAACGGAAATTCTCACTGACCGGAGAAATCGATTCACAAAAATCCGCTTAACATGCGCTAGTGATATTGTTAATTTTTCCTCAATCTTTTTGGCGGCAAATTGGTTTGGCGTCGCGGCCACTTCAACTTGTCTTTTCTAAAAATCCAGAATTAACTGCGCGTTCAGTATCCGTTTCTTACAGAGTAGCCCAACGGCAACCATCATCGGGAAAGCCAGCGCTAAAGTAATTATGATCTGAAGTGGACTAAAAGTTTCTTGCATACTGATCATCATAAACTGTTGTAAATTTTATGTTTTACTTTGTGAAGTCTTTGTTTTATGGTATGCAGGAACTTGTCCTGATCGTTGTAGACGTTAAGCTGAAGAAACAAACAAACAAACAAATTCAACGCACCGACCATGTTTGCCGCTTTTTCCGCTGTTTCCACAGAATTTCCACAAAATAATTCCGTCAGGGCAGAAGTTTGTCGTTAGAGCCACGCAATAATGCCGCTGGGGTGACTTCTGCACCGCATACGGACTGCAGTCCAGGCAACGCTGTCCTTTCCAAGTCATGACGTGCGTCAGCGGCTTTGGCGGCTTCAGGCAGACCGTGCAGTTCATTACGAACTTACAACTGCTGACTGCAGGTACCAAATTTGTAGACACAAGTACCAAGCCAGACCAGATATAAACAGCAGGTCGAAGAACACTTCGACATATACAAGTACAAGGAAGTATGTGAACATACTAAATAACGTAAAAGTATACACCGATGTACCCACAAAAGTAATTGCACATTTTTCCTACAAAATATTAATGAAATTGTTTTTTATTGCTGTTGTTTTCAGCAACACTTGCATATTTCACTGGGCAGTCAATGACTCAATTATTTCCGGAGCTCCGTTGTTTGTTTCATGCACCCATCTCGAATGTCTCTGCTCTCCGTCATACTCTTAAGGTGGATACGCGCCTCCGTAGCGATAGCCTTGGCCAAGCTTATGCGGAGCGCTGTATCTGCCAACGACTCATCTTCGTGGCTAAAACTGCTTTCCGCTCCCTCAGCGATCCTCTCTCTCCCAGGCGCTAGTAAAAAGTCTCGGAAAACCTCCATCACATCGCACATCCGGGACCAGATCGCTAAATTTGAGAGCGGCGAACTTGACGATGAAGAACCCAAAGCCGCCCCTGGTAAGCCTCGGCGCGCTACTCCCGAGGACGAGATCGCCCGTCGAGTGGGTATTCAGATTGATGATTTTAACGTCAGTGGAGCGGCACGCACTCTGCTCTTGTCGGACTCTGTAGCTGATAGTACCCCGATTGTAATAGAATCAATGAAGCTTAAACACCCAGCTGCCCCGTTACCTACACCGCCGCCCGATCCCCCAGCCTCTAGTTTCGCCCCTCTTACCCCCGCTGAGGTTTTATCTGTCCTAGAGGCGATGCCTCGTGGCAGCGCAGGAGGCCTGGATTACCTGCGTCCCCAACATTCGCTGGACCTAATTGGGGCAAGAATGGATGACGCCGCATCTAGTTTGTGTGACGCTCTGACGGACCTGCTCAACCTTATCTTAGCAGGCAAAGCTCCTCCTGAGGTGGTTCCACTCTTGTGTGGCGCTCGACTGGTTGCCTTGCGTAAAAAGGATGGTGGCTTGCGCCCGATCGCCGTAGGAAATATATACCGCCGTATTGCTGCCAAGGCGGTGGATATCCGAATTAGGCCAGTCACAGCGGAGATTCTACAACCACATCAACTAGGCCCCGGAGCAAAGAGAAGAGTCGAAGGAATTATCCACGCAGCTAGAGGTTTCCTCAGGAAACCTCTAGCTTTCCTGCTCCAATATAGTAGCGGCCTTAAAGCTCTTCTAAAAATCGATTTCACCAACGCCTTCAACTGCGTCTCACGCGAGGAAGTGCTGCGGATAACGGCTGAAGTCATACCGGAATATTACGGCTTTGTGAAAATGTGCTACGGTTCATATTCTTCGCTGTTCTTAGGTGAAACAATAATTGCCTCGCAGTCTGGCGTGCAGCAAGGGGATCCTCTTGGTCCGGTCTTGTTTTGTTTAGTACTTCAGTTCGTCATCGACAAGCTAAACGCTTACCTGAACGCTTGGTACATGGATGATGGGACATTAGGAGGAACACCATCGGAAGTGATCCGCAACTTCCTGCTGCTGATAGTGGAAGCTAAGAAAGTCGGCCTGGAAGTCAACATCGCCAAGTGCGAACTGTTTTTGTGCGGGGGCACCGAAGCACAGCGTTCATCGGCCGCTAACGAGTTCACCAGTTTATTCCCTGGAATAGCTTTAGTAACAGCGGATAAGCTAAATTTGCTGTGATCCCCTCTTCTACCAGCCGCCATAATCCCGATGATCAATGAAAAAATCAACCACTTGGGAATTATGTGCGGCCGTTTGCAGCTTATTCCTAAACACCAAGCCCTGTTCCTGTTGAAGAACTGCCTTGGGGTGCGAAAAATAGTACATATCTTGCGCACTTCCCTCGCATGGATGTTTCCACAAGAGCTGTACAGACTGGACCAGGTATTTCGCGAAGCAGTTGAGACCATCACCAATGTAAAGATGGATCACCCAACATGGCTGCAGGCCTCCCTTCCCGTTCGTTTCGGGGGTTTGGGAATCAGACGAACTGAGAAGCTAGCTCCTTCTGCCTACTTGGCATCGGCTACTTCGTTACACCCACTGATTTCCAAGCTGTGCCCGAAACTGACGGCAACGGATGTTACTACCGCCACCCGCGCCTGGAAGTTAGAGGCCGACACCGATGAAATTCCGGCGCAAGCCATCCGACACGTCCAGAAAGCCTGGGACACTCCTGTGACCCTAAATGCGTTTTCAAGGCTGACTACGCTACGGACTTTACCGGAGGAAGTCGCGCACCTGAAGGCGGTATCAGTCCCGGAATCAGGTGTGTGGATTCATGCTTTACCCGCAGCCTGCCTTGGTATCTCCTGGAGGACAATGCCTTCCGCATCAGTGTTGCTTTGCGTCTGGGAGCACCAATAGTACTCCACATGTGTGCGTTTATGGAGGGTTGGTCGACGAGTTAGGCCGGCATGGACTTCGCTGTAAGCGGTCTGCCGGAAGACTACCACGACATGACGGAATCAGTGCGGAATTTGCCTGAGGCTTGAAGTCAGCCGGTTTTCCCTCTAGAATGGAACCAAAAGGTCTGTCTGTGAAGGATAGGAAAAGGCCGGACGTGATCACACTAATACCGTGGGCGCGCGGAAAACCGCTGGCCATAGACGTCACCTGCGTAGACACGCTGGCGGTTTCCTATATCGACCGCACTTCCGTGAACGCCGGCGCAGCAGCCGAACTCGCAGAAAGGAAGAAACTAGCGAAACACGCTTGGATGCAAGCAAGATACGATTTCGTTGCTGCAGCCATCGAAATTTACGGACCTTATGGAGACGGTACTAAAAAGCTAGTGGAAACGGTTGGAAACGGTATAGCAACTTCAACTGGCCAAAAGCGGGCGAAAGAGTTTTTTAAACAGCGAATATCTATGCAAATACAACGGGGAAACGCGATTTGTGTAATGGGTACGATCCCCGATCAGGATTGCATAGAGGAAGTGATTCTTTTGTAAATGCCGTTTTGTTCTGGTGCATAGTTTGTACCCGTACCATGATACTTATTAAAGGTTTGGCCGTAGGTGGATACCAGACATGGACTTCAGAAATAAAAATATTTAAAAAATACTGTAACCACCGTCGTTTTTCTTTCGCCGGAAGCTGCATGATAGGCTGTTCGATCCATACAGTTGGGGTAACGCTTTATCGGTGTCTGCTGTAACCAGCATTCTGAAGTGGAGGACGAGCGACCGAATGCAACGGGACCGCGTTGGGCAAAGGGGTTTAGAGTCTATTAAGTTTTCTGGCTTTTCTATTGATTTAGAACACCACTTTGCAGCGGCTGGTCGCAGTACGGTGGTGGTATTTGGCAAGTCGTACCAGTCGGGTCCGTGATGCGACCGATGAAGACGGGACCGTTGGCCATTTCGTCCCAAATAATCATCAAGAACGGACGATTCGCCACGAACTCCGGCTCATAAAGCAGCAGATTATACTGTTTGCTGCTATATGGGGCCTCCGTAGCATTGATGCCGTTTTCATCCAGATCTGAAAAGAGCATCCGCTGCGCTATAAATGTGTACATTAGCAAATACGAACCATGAGCTTACTTAAGACAAATGGCGGCCGGAATGGACCGACACGCTCCGGTGGCTGCTTTCCTTCAAACTCTGCGGCAGAATTTGTGACTGGTCGTGGTTTTTCGCTACCAGCTGCAATTCCGCCTCCAATATTAATTTTCATCTTTGGTATAATAACGTACCAAAGGTGCTGAGTGCTCTTTCGCCGCCACTCTAACAATTTTTCGATCGTCAACTCTTTTTCCAAGCTGCTTATGGTGTTATTATTCGGCGCCGGTAGTAGCAGCATAATGCTGAATTTTCCCTTTTCGGCATGGAAAACAATCATCTGTGGCTCATCCGCTTCGATTCTGTCCCCTCCGCGATGCACATTAAAAGCACGACATATGGTGACCGTGTTTATTAAAAACTCCACGGTTTTTTCGATATTATTCGGGCAGTAGAACGTTCCGCTTTCGGTTCTTTCGAAAGCATAATCCCACCGGTAGGAAAATTCGGCGGTATTCAATATGATTCGCCGCGATTCGTGTGTAATGTACGACAACGTAATTCCGTCAAGTTTCTCTTTGAAGAAGCAGTTCAGTGTTGCGGACTGACCAAAACGAGCTTTGTCAATCGGTTCTTTTCCAAGTTCACTGCATACTGAGCTTTGAAATACCTTTTCCGGTCGAAAAGCAGAACGGCAACTGTCGTCAGAAAACGCGGCGTTAACACATTCCAACCCACCGAACGTGGTTGCCGCATCCTTCTCTATCTTCATCTTCAAAAAACCTCCTATACTATTGTGAAATGCCTCAAACAGTGAAGATTTCAGCGTGTCGTTGGGGTCAGGAACCATGATTTCGGCCAGATACGGGCCGAGGATGATATTCGCATCAGGAGAATTCGCACTGCTGACGATAGCCTGAAACACGGCCACAGCCCTGCGGCTTGAGGAATTGGCACCAAACTCGGTCGTAAAATATTTGGATGACGTTTTTCTCTGCCGTGGAGGCGGGGGAGGTGTCTCGCGTCCGAAACAACTCTTGATGATGTCCAGAAATTTTCCCATGACTTGACTTCCCAAAAATTATGGATGCTGCGTTATCGGGGAGTTTAGCCGGAAGAAGAAAACATTTCACCGTGAGAAACGGGTAACTGAAATAATTCGGTGTGTGCTCAATTACCTCAATATTACGACGTACAAAAGGAATATGCCAAGAACGAAACGCTCACTATGTCACAGCATGGTTGTGATCGGTAGTTTTTCTACCGGGAAAACACGCCCGATAGTTTAACAGCAAAAATCTTATAACTTGGACTGCTCTCACGCTCACAAGCTCGTCATGAATAAAGCGGCATGCCACGCGGTATACACTTACACGGTAGCCGACGAAGGCGCTCGGTACTGTACGATATACTGTATCTGTATGAACGGATCGATATTAGTGCATTAGCGCTGCAACTTGTATGTGTACAAATCACGCATACATACATACAACTAAGACGTTTTCGCAATTGCCATTGGCTGGCCCGGCCTACTTTTGCCTACTTGTATAGATGTATGCGTGATTTGTACACATACAAGTAAGAAACGCACATGCACTATTATGGGCCTGAAGTTTTTAACAAGCGGCAGTTTCCATCCTTACACCCGTGTGGAAACCCGGTATTGCACACCCGGTATTGCATACACGATTCCGCAGCTGGCAGCGCGATATTAGAGCAAAATACGTCTTAGAGATACCATACGAGGGAAATCGTGGGCATAAATAAATTAGTTAATTATTAAACGGTTTTGTGTACATTATACAGAGCCGCAGGTTATTCTGCTCCAACGTTTCCGTTAATCGGTGCTTTATTTATTGTGTAAATTGTGTAATAATTTATACCGTACTCTACAAGTTAGTAGTGGTCAATCTCCGCATTCAGTGAGAGATAGTGACATTTAACTTTCTGCGGCAGTAAAAACAACAAGTTATAATTGGTTATAATACAACACCGGCTACGTTTTGCATCCAGATAATCTTTATTAATTTTATAATTATTATAAGAATGTTATATCAATGTATGTATATTCTCAAATAACTAAATTGTTATACAAATGTATGCAATCTGTACGTGTACTGTACAGTACCTTATCAACCGTGCACTTACAGAGGGTGATTTCGCAATATGCTTCCAGCACGGGAAAAAATTCCCAAAAATTTCCCTTTCTATTCTTTTTAGTTGGTTGCTAAACAGTCTTGTGGGACAAAGTGTGCCTAATTGTTCAAAATGATTTGTGGAGTTCGAGCGATCAACATGGCATGAAAAACCGATTGAAGAACAAGGTGCCGTGTGCTGGCGTTATTAACAATTTGTAAAAGCCACAGAAAAATCGCCGAGCGTTTGATGAGCAAAGGGGATCGTTATTTCTCATACTAGGATAAATAAGCTTTTGAAACTATATGGGGCCGAGAGCGAAGGGAATAGTTCGCCTGTAAAACGCCTAGGAAATCAGTGCCCGCCCAAAGTTCCCACAAAGTCCCTCATCGCCGACGTCAAGAGGGCTATCTTAATACCGAATCCACCGTCTCAGAGACAGTTGGCAAGGAAATTTAGGACATCCCAGTACACGATATCGAAGATTATTCATCGTAATCTTGAAGCAAAAGTACGTAAAAAAGGCAAAGTACATGCACTGTCAAATAAACAGGCAGAACAGCGTGCTTCTCGTGGTCCCCGATTTGCCAAATTCTGAACCAGCGAAATTTGCCCTACATCAATTTAATCGACGCAGCATTAGTTTATCTTTATTATACGGCTAGCGAAGAAAGATCTGCTACGAGTTTAAAGGATCCGAAAATTCCGAAAATTGGATGAAATTTTGGAAAGTTAAAAAACCGCAAGGTGTTACGTTTATCGCCAAAATTTTTTATCGTGGCCCAACAGTGATCCGGTTCATTTCTCCCCCTGCTGAAATAATCGCCGGTCTCTACATTCAAAACGTGTCCGAGCCATTAATGTGAGAAGGCTTCCCCCGTCTTTGTCCAGGTGAAGAAAGGAAGATAGTACTGCATCAGGACTCCGCTCCCGCACATACTGCCAAAAAAACCTGCCAGAGGCTAGCTTCTCGGGGCATCCGATACATTCCGAAGGGCATGTGGCCGAACAACTCATCGGACTTTGCATCCATGGATTTTGGAACGAACGGGATTTTTAAAAGAATTTTGTATCACAAGTATGCAACGTCGATTCGCGGTTTGTTAACAGTCGCGCGCCCATCTTTGTCTATAATTTCAATTACCCTGAGCTATAAAATAATTCGTTCCTGGCGTTATCGTGTGGAGTTGATGGCAGAGAAGAAGGGCTTTCAGATAGAGCAAATATTAAAATAAAGTCTATGCGGCGGAGATTATAATAAATTTATGAATAAAGTGGAAGCATATTGCGAAATCACCCTCTGTATAAGAATTTTGTGCGATATGAGCGGTATGGTACTGCAATAATTCCATGCTGCGTATACACTACAAATATACTTAGTTTGTGCGTGTACTTATTTAAAACGTTACAACTTAAGAGTTAGAAACTTATAATTATTGTATCGTATCCGTGAAACTTTATGTACGTACAAGTACATGAAACTTTTGAACGCTCGTACGGCGACCGGTGTATAACATCCTGCTGTGAATCAAAATCCCACCAAATTAAAAGTGACATCGTCTGCATTGCCGCCCTTATTCTGTTCATTCTGTCTTTTACTGCAAAATTTGTTGCAATTATTTTAGTTACATGCATGCTGGGTTTTCCAGTGACTCCACCGTTTTTTTCGTTTTTAAAGCCCCATAATTTTATTACATTTAACAAGTATTTCCGCGGCGTGACACTGGCATATTGTCAGAGCCATTGCAAAATATTATGAACAGTGTTGCAAATTGCAATAAGCAGTGTGCAGAATAACGCCGTTGGTTTCGCGTATATTATTTTATTATGATCAATGGATTCTTGAAAGAAAATGATAACAAAATAAAAATTTGTTAACGAAAGAACGAGTATTTCGGGAAAAAAATTGCTGTCCTCTTGACAGGGATTAGATGGGCTGGCTGATAACAATCGGCAAAGGAAATGCAATATCTCAGTATTTCCATATACGAGTTCTTTTGCATTAATTTGGGGAACTGAATTCGTTAATTAACATTTTGTTGAATGATCGGTTGTTTTATTCCTTGCCTGCAAACGAGTACTCTCATATATCCTTATCCCCGAAGAACATCAAATATGTTGAGATTGTAAAGTGACCACACTGCGTTTAACAACAATATACACGTCGCAGATTCGCTGTAGAGTGTTCCGGGCAATACAGTGCGCCATGCGCGTCAGCAGGATGATTTGATCCATTCAGTTAGGATGCGGAAACGCTTTATCCGTCACATGCGGTGCCTGTCCTATCCAGAGTTTTAAAGTAGCGGACGATCGACTGCATGCGACGGAACCACGCTTCAAAACGATTTCGAGTCTAGTAAGCGTTTTGGCTATTTTACTGATTCTGTACACAACTTTGCGGCGGACTGTCGCAGTACGGTGATGATATTTGGATAGCCGCACCAGTCGGGTCCGTGATGCGACCGATGAAGACGGGAACGTTGGCCATTTCGTCCCAAATAATCATTAAGAACGGACGATTCGCCACGAACTCCGGCTCATATAACAGGAGAGTATAATGTAAGTCGCGATACGGGGCCTGCGTGGCATTGATACCGTTTTCATCCAGATCTGAAAAGTCAATCGGTTACGGTATAAACATGTATGGATACGTCACACTGTCACACGAATGGGCAGCATGATCATACTTAAAACAACTCCCTGTCGGAATTGGCCGACACACTCCGGTGGCCGGTCTTCTTCAAACTTTTCGGCTGAATTTGTTGTTGACAGTGTATTTTTGTTACCGGCTGCGAATCCGCCTCCGATATTAATCCGGAGTTTTGGTACAATAACATACGCAAGTCCTTCCCTGCTCTTCCGACGCACTTCTAACAGTTTTTCGATTGTTAATTCTTTTTCCAAGCTGCTTATGTGATCATTATCCGTCGCCGGTAGCAGCAGCATAATACTGAATTTTCCCTTTTCGGCATAGAACATAATCATTTGTGGATCCGCTCTGAATCCAGAACTTCCGTAATGCCTGTTAAACTGACGGCACATGCCGACCGTGCTTTTCAAAAACTCCACGGTTTTCTCTACATTATTCGGGCAGTAGAACGTTCCGCTCGTGGTTTGTTCAAACTCAAATTCCCACCGACAGGAAAAGTCGACAATATTAGTTGCGATCCGACGCGTCTCCTGCATGATTTGCGCCAATGACATTGCAGACTTTTCGTCTACTCTTTCTCCCGTGGAGCGATTCACTGTCGCGGACCCCTCCGAAGGAGACTGATCAACTGGCTCGCCTTCAAGTCCACAGTTTACTGAATGTCGAATCGTCCTCTCCGGCCGAGAAGCGGAACCGTAACTCTCATCAGAAAACGTGGCGTTAACACACTCCAACGCACCAGATGTTGTTGCCGTTTCCCCATCTTTAATTACAAATATATCCGAACAATCCCCTTTGCTAGTGTGAAATTCATCCAGCAATTTAAATTTTAGCGTGTCATTAAGGAGTCTCGTCAGAATGATCTCGGCCAAATACGGATTGATGAGGATATTCGCATCAGGAGTATTCGCGCTGTGGAGGATAGCTTGAAACACCGCTACAGCCCACCGGCTTGCTGGATTGGCACTGAAGTCGGTCGTAAAATATTTGAAGTCGTCATATTCTCTCCGCCGTGGAGGCTGGGGTGGTGGCGCGCGTCCCAGACAACTCTTGATGATGTCCAAAAATCTCCCCATGATTTCCTAAAAATTATGGCTGCTGCGTTACCGGACTATTTTGCCGGAATGAAGGGAACATTTTGCCATGAGAAACGTAAAAGTTTAATGATTTGGTACATGCCATTCGCCACACTATTTACGACGCAAAGAAGGAGAATTTTAAGTCAGCTGTTGTGGCACGGCGTGGCTCCAATCGGTCGTTTTCTTACCAGGATAACAAGCCTGATAGTCAACACTCCACAGCAAAAATCTTATAGCTTGGGCTGATCAAACGCTAGCCAACTCGCTATAAATAAAGCGGCATGCCACGCGGTATACTTGTATGCTATTAAACATTAGCTCGGCAAAGTCACTCAGTACGAACACATATCTGCAGTGCAATCACATACCCTAAGCGGATCGATATCTGTGCAGCGCGGTATCTTGAATACGTGCGGTATAGTTGTTTTGACCATTCAGAGCGTAGATAAGCTCCGGATCGTGATGACACACGTTACCCGTCGTTTCTCCTGCGCATAATGCACAAAAAACCTACATAGGCGTTGGAAGATACCCGAATGTCTGAATTTGAGCAATAATCATGCCGGTGTTTTTTACGATGCAGCATTTTCCAACTTACACACGTACTATAATAAACCGGTATCGCTATATCTATGTACATGTATATACAGTTTCCTCTGCTGCCAGGGCGTTATTAGACCAAATAGAAATTACATTTTGGAGAAAACGGAAATTGTCAAAATTACATAAAACAGTGGGTATAAATAAAGCGGTTTATGGTTATGTGCACGTTGTACAAACCCACAGTTGCACCATTCTGTTCCCGTGTTTCTGTCAATCAGTTCTTGACTCAATTTGCAGGCTGTGTAACATTTGGACCTTGCACTATAAACTGGCATTGGTCAATCTCCGCATCGTGCTGTTCAACAGAATAAATTAAATAAGCCCACTGGTACTGATTTCAGTTTTCTATCGACGTCACAACAACAAGTTTTAATGCTTTTAAATATTATAGATAACTACCGAAAAGTGCAAACGCGGAAAAATTACTATTAAATTAAAATGTTAAAAATTAGACACGTTAACTTTGTCACATTAACTACTTTTTGCATCAAGGTATTCGCTATTAATTCCCTCATAACTGTCGTAATAGAACTTTGCCCGTTAAACGCACGCTGTGGTATACGAGTAATGTTTTATAGTACCCATAACCTGCGGTAAAACTTCTTCGAACCACTACAGAAATTCTTATTATCGATTAATACATACATCATCGCAGCAACAACATTCAGCGAAATAAAATTTCAGCATCAGTACATATGTTCAAATGCTTTAATTATCGTTAGTGCATAAATTGCAAGTAATTTGAAGCTTTATATTTTTACTAAGGCAAAGTTCTCAGCCGCAAATTTGAAAGCTTTTACATATAAAATTACAACATTAGAATTTTAGTCACGTAGATGGAATCGCAAGCCAATTATACAACATCATCCCTACGAACTTAGGTGGCCGAGTAACAGAGAAAACTTCGTCTGAATTCGCTGCCGGCATCAACTTAATACTCGCAACGCCAAGTTATCTTCGAAATAACAGAATGATTTTGAAATGCCGTATTAAGTATCAGTAACATCAGCTTAACAATAAAATATTCTGGCACCACTCTGGAACAGTCCGTCTCAGTTTATTCTACAGAGATACTCTCAACAGCAACAAAAGCATCATCAAGAAATTTCCGTCACTTGAGCTTCGACGGCGGACGGTCCGATCAACTGATTTTGGCACTGCAGGTATCGGAAATACCGTATCGTCCAAGGTTTTCAAGACACCGATTTTATCAAGGCCTGTTTAGTACGAGTAGTGGACGATCGGTCGAGCACTGACGGGCAGTGTTCCATCGAGTGTTCGGGCTATCTCAGCGATTCCATACTCGTATCGGACTTGGCGTCGGACGGTCGGAATACCGTCACGGCATTACCTAATCGCAGCAGCTGGGGTCCATGACGCGACCTATAAAGAGGGGTACATTCGCCACCTCATTCCAAATAACCATCAGGAACGGACGATTCGCCAGGAAATCCGGTTTGTCATCCATACAATACTCTTTGCTGCAGTTCGGAGCCGGCGCAGCATTAATACCGTATTCGTTCAGCTCTACAAAAATCAATCGGCTCTTGTACAAAATCCGTACGCGTGGACATCGTTACCTTACATAAGTCCACCTGCTGCCGGAACTGGCTGACACATTCCGGTCGGCCATCTACCTCATTCATTCCGGCAGAATTCTTGAATGATGATGTAATTATCTCCTCGTGACCCAAAGTTGCCCAAGCTGGCCGCAAGTCCACATCGCAGTTGATATGAAACTTGGGTATTACAACGTACGCCAAATCCTCAGAGCTTTTCCGCCGCCACTCTAATATATCTCCAATAGTCACTTCCTTTTCCAAACTGTTTATGCCCTCACTGGATTTCGCCGGCAATATGAGCATAACGCTGAAATGTCTCTCAACGATATTGAGGATGATAACATGCGGCTCGTCTGGTTTGAATCTCGTACTTCTTTGATGTATATTGAATTCACGAAATATGAGATCTTCGTTGGTCATCAACTCCACGGACTTCTCCACATTATTCGCACAGCAGAACGTCCCACGTTTGGTCTTTTTCTTTTTCGAACGGAAATTCCCACTGGCCGGAAAAATCGACGAGATTTACACAGATCACCCGTGTTTCATGCTCAACATGTGCTAACGACATTGTTATTTCTCCGTCGATCTTTTTTGCACTTAATTGATTTGGCACCGCCGCTTGTTCGGTTATTTCCAGAGAGTGTCCTCCATTATTACTGAAGAACTCCCTTAGTGCGGACAGATGTCTGTCCTGGGAACTACGACAAAGTTTCGCTATGATGATTTGCGCCGCACACGGACTGACAACGATATTTGCATCGGGAGTGTCCGACGACACCACGACAGCCTGTAACATGGCCATGGCCCAGCGGCTGGGCAAGGTGATACTGAAATCAGTTGTAAAGGGTTTAATTTTCGGTCGCAGGTACTTTGGAGGCCGGGGGGAAGCACGTCCCAGACATCCCTTGATCAAATCCAGAAATTTCCCCATCACTTTCGCAAATTTATGGCCGTTGAGTTATACGGGTAGCTTAATCGAATCGAAAAATTAGAATCAAGGGAAAAATCGCACGAGTATCTGTACATGCACCACCGCTTTCTAATATTGCACAATTTACACCACCGTGTGAGTTGTAAAATGCCGCAAGCCAAAAATAAAAATTTTTTCTACGTACTTACGTGTTTGTATTGATCCGTCCTTGCTGCGCGATTAAGTAATACCCTACGCTCTGTACTCTGTACAAGTTCTGTACCACTTCCCAAAGCTTCCGTTTCCACAATACAGTACATTCACTACAACGTGCACTAGTGCACGGTGAGTCTGTTAGGGTGCACCATGTGGCATACAGTTTTATTCCAGCGTGTGTGTTTGGATCGATGTGCTACGCAGCAGACGCTATGCCGTTGTGCAGCTCAAGGATCTAGCTGCTGCGTGTACAAAAATGATAACGGGAGTGCAATTTCCTTTCTTGTCCACTGTTTTAAACTCCCCTTTGCATATGGTTAAACAATCATATAAAATCGCTTAGTAATCGGTCAGTACTGCATGCATACTGAAATGGACTACTGAACGCCGTGTACAGTGCTGCCAGATTGCCGGTACTCATGGTTGCACAACAATTTCCGCTCCGTAAAATTACTTATTCTTTACTATATGCGTACTACATTAACTGCAACCGTGCTATTCTAGATTAATAATCGACCAAAGCGCGGCGAAGGTCTTCTTTGTTCAAGGATACTGAAAAATATGGCGTCTGTGCGTCATTCACCGCCATTCTTATACCGAAAATTAACCAGCATAGCGCGTACCAGCCAACCAATAGTCACTATCTGTACAAAATGGAATAACTACAAATACAGCTTGAAATAGCGTGTGTGATTACATAATTTGTGTAGTTATGATCTGTGTGTCGTATAATTTAAGGTGACCACTCCGTGCACACCCTTTCACACCCTTTTACTCCGTACACAACCTTTTGCACTACCTTTTATTCCGTGCACAACCTTTTGCACTACCTTTCATTCCGTGCACAACCTTTGACTCGGTGCACTACCAAACTTTTATACATACAGCTTAGGACAAAATGGTCGCATACCCAAAATCTCCACATTCAGTACGAATGCAGCGCAGTGCACTGTACGACTGAGTTCAAAATATCCGTTTCGTACAAGTGCACTGCACCGCTTGCGTACAGAATGCTGGGTATGGGGCTATGCGACCATTTAGTCCTACATTGTATATACTTGTAATCTATAAGTATATACTTTTGTACATATATACTTTTGCAGTTTGCACTATGTCAAGCTCGGAAAGCGAAGATTGTGATTGTAATAGTGTTGATTCTAATCCTCATTTTGCGATATTTCAAGGCGTGTAGTTTCAAACGCTCAGTCTTTTCAAAGAAGTTTTCGATGAATATTCTGTTCAGTTCCAGAAATAACTTTTCCGTGAAAAAAAAGATAGTGCATGCAGATACAAGTAATGCCGAATGGTTGTGTACGGAGTAAAAGGTAATGCTCAAAAAGGTTGTGCACGGAATGAAAGGTAGCGCAAAAAAGTTGTGCACGGAATAAAAGGTAGTGCAAAAGGTTGTGTACGGAGTAAAAGGGTGTGAAAGGATATGCATGGCGTGGCCACCATAATTTAAATACTTCGTTTTGCCTCATATTTCGGTCACTTTAAGTACTTCTATACGTTTTCATATTACCGTCACCTGGTGTTTAAATTTCCGGCTAACAGAAATACCAGAAATGAATGGTTTTGATAGTATAAAACTTCGCTCATGGATTGCGAAGAACAAACAAGAGCAAATTCCATAACAAAAATCAAACGAAGAACAGGATTTGGGCCGGATGCACTGTAAAAGAAACCTTCTTCCACGTTTGCAATTTTCAAAAGTTTTAAATTCCGATATTTTCCAGTTTTCTTTTGATGATTACAGACTCTGGAAAAACAAATCAAAAAGAAAGTTGTGCGATGAATAAGGAACTATCGGCAGCAGATAGAACGGGAACTATTTATGTAGCGCGCGACATGGGTTGCCAGCTTAGATGCACTCCTGGAAATTCCTGGGGACGAGTACATGCCGGTCACTTTGATTGCTGACTGATGAATGATATCCCGCCATGACAACTACAAAGCTGACCGAAGTCTTTGGATTTCTCATCGTGTCCATACAGAGTTTTGCGTCAGCATGCTCCGAACGATATTAACGACATGCCATGATGACATTAACGATCCGCATCAACAGGGCTCCGTGATGCGACCCATAAAGACGGGAACGTTGACCATTTCGTTCCAGATAATCAACAAGAACGGACGATTTGCCAGGAAATCCGGTTTAGAATCCCCAGTATTAAACTCTTTGCTGCAGTAGGCTGCCGGAGCTGCATTAATGCCGAATTCATTCATCTCTGCAAAACCCATATGGCTGCTTTATAAAACATGGGCGAGTGTATGTACGTAACACGACCTTACCTACGGCAACCTGCTGTCGGAATTGGCTGACAGCCGCGAATTGCCCATTTTCCCTGGACACCGTAATACGATCCGCGGTTGCCAGTGCCAGACGTTTGTCCATATTCATCTCTGAGTCAAACGGTCGCAATTCCACATCACAGCAGATACGGAACTTTGGGAGAACAACGTGCGCCAGGTCTTCCTTGCTCTTCTGCCGCCATGCCAACAATTTTCCAACGGTCAGCTCTCTTTCAAAGTCATTTATTCCTTCGTTGCTATTTGCCGGTAAAATCAGCATAACGCAGAATTTTTTCTCGGCCATATGGAGAATGATCATCTGTGCAACATTTGTTTTCAGTCGCTTGTTATAAATATTGACCTGACGACATATGAGATTTTTATTTGTCATGAACGCCACGGTTTTTTCAACATTAGCCAGACCGTGAAACGTCCCTGTCTTGGTTTCTGCTTCGTCAAAAGGAAATTCCCACTGACCGGAGAAATCGGCGATATTCACCATGATCAACTGCGCTTCGCGTTTATAATGCGTTAATAACATGGTTATTTTTCCCTCCACATTTTGGTCCGTTGTGGCGGGAGGTTTTTCAGGGAACCGTTCCACAATGCCTCCAATAAATCTGCAATTTTCGGCTAATTCTGGTGTCTTCTCGTAATGCGGAGCCAAAAGGGAGGCATAATCAGGGAAAAGCGCGGTAGTAATAGAATTCAACGCACCGACCATGTCCGCGATGGGTTGAATCATTTCCGGATACTTTACACTAAAACTGTACACCGAAACCGGAGGGAATGGACGCGTGTTCAGGGAGACAGGATATTCAGGAAACAGACCTTTCCAAAGAATATCCACCGCGAAGGGACTCACAACGATATTTGCATCGAGAGGGTTCGCCGTCCACACTCCACCAACAACATCCCGAAACATCGAATCAGCCCAACAGCTATGTGGCATATCAGTGAAATCGGTCGCGGAGGCTTTGCATTTTCGTAGTGTCCGCTGTGGAGGATGGGATGGCGCGCGTCCCAAACAGCTCTTGATCAGGCCCAGAAATTTCTCCATGTCTTCTGTGAATTTATAGCCAGAGCCGCAGAGCGTTTGCACTGTATTTTGCTTTTACCCGAATAAAAGACACAATTCTACAGCGGTTATTGTTTAATCATATGCCTATTGTAATGATTATTAACTTTTGTAATTGCCCCATGTCGATACGCATGATACTGGGGAATGAAACGATAGCAGACTGAACAAGGGGGAGTTTCGAGTCAGTTATGACCGCGACTGGTGCAGCTATCATCTTGTGTTGCCGGATGGTACATGTATAATATTGCTTTGCACGGGATATCGATCCAGACTGACTCCCACTCGCAGACTCGTCATGAATAAAGCGGTGTGCTACAGCCACAAGTACACCAGAGCTCAGCGAAAACGTATCTGTACGGTACGACAGTTTGTGCGCAACACAAACTGTCGCTTATAATATTGTATACAAAGTACAAACCATCCAAGAGCTATTTTTGGCTTGAATACGGCACCTCCTATTCAGTTGCATTTCCCTAGTATACTTATAATGTACAATACAAGCAAAAACAACTACCGCTCTTAAAAGCACATGGAACCAGATGCAGTTTCAGCAGGCTGTTGTCAGTCTACCGGTTTTCTGTCACTTTTCTCGTGCAGCTCCACAGTATTAACAGAGTCCACTCCACAGTAACAATGCACGCAAAATGCACGAATTTTAATTTTGCACGAATTTTAATTTAATTTGCACGAATGCACGAATTTTTTAATTTTGCACGAATGCACGAATTTTAATTTTGATTTTCGCCAAGTGATCTATTGAAATAATTTTATTTTTGTGGCGTTCTGTTGGTTGGCATACCCGCTACAGCAGTTCTACAAACTAAAATTATTCGAATACATGGTTATCCATCGATGAAAAATCATTATCCCTGGTTGTGCAACCCCAAAATGTGCATATTGTTTCGTAAATACCAGCAAAAGTTTGTGTTGTGCTGTATCTTGAGTTGAGTATCCGCTTCCATCGTCCATCACGAGTATCCGCTCCCATCGTTCCATCACTTTACCGTCTCAAGACGTTACATTGAGGGCAAGATGGAAGCGGATAAAGAGAGTTCGGAACTTTTTTCTCTCCTTCTCGCCTAATTTCCACCGAAAGGCAAACTAGAGATCACGTGAATAAAAACTGCATCCGAGTAATTTCAATTTTGATACAGGTTTAAGCAGAGACTGCAGCGCGTATGGCGCTGGCTTGTCCGGACTCCGGAATGGTTCTATTGCGATAACACCATTCCAGTCACGCCAACGGCAATTGCCGTTTTTGGCATCTTGTGTTGATAATCAGCTTCACAACTGCAGCTGATAATCAGACGAACGTCTATTGTTTGCATTTCTACGCATCTTCACGCTTCAGCCAAGAAGGAATAAAAGCGGGCTAGGAAACATTACCAAAATTAAGGAGAGGATAATTTTGTCATGTGGAATTCGGACCCTAGAATTTGCTATGCCGATTCTCCTTTTTCTTTTGGACGTTTTCTATACATTTCGTTCAACACAATGGCGGTGCCCCACATTTTTATAAATAAATTTATTCACGGGATCTTTAACTATTCTGCAATGATACATATCTCGTTATATTTGAGTTTTACTTACACACACTTAACACGTTTAATAACTGTTATTAAAATTTCACTCGGAAGGTCAAATTTCTCCCGAAAAAAAAACACCGCTAGTATTTCCATGACACCGTTAACAGCAACCTTGAAATGTCAAAGCGCTCATAATAACTACTTCCTAGCCGAATAAACTTATCAAGCGGCAAGATCAGTGAAACTTTCACAATTAGTACAATCGTATTCCACAATTTTCAGGGTCAGCTTAGAGCCGCCATGTTGAGTAGCATCATCGCCATACTAATCGCCACCTGCACTTGGATTCGGAGTACAAACGGTACGATGTCGTGTTGGTAAAATGTTGGAGTCGACCGGCAAAATGTAGATTATACCGGGTACATATGTGTATTGCTCGTAGGCCTCGCCTGTCAGCAGTGCAGTTTTGAAGACGATCTCCAGGATGCCTGCCGGATCCCGTGGCCTGGTGGCGCTATCTCGCGGCTACTGCAGTGTCCCGATGTGTCGGGGTTCTGCCAAGTGGGCATCGTCCTCATACCCGAAATAAATCTGCAGACCGGCCAGATAGGTACGTACACTGCCCACCCATATGCCTTAATTACTGCCGGGCTTCCATAAAAATGAATGAAAATTACTTTCGGTCTTATGATCAAACGGTTTTTTTTACCCTACCATAAAACCACCCGTTTTTAGATCTAAAGTAAGCAATAATTATGTATTTATATTTCAAGGGTAGCCAAACCCAGACGTGGTGCACTAAATCGCATATTAGGATTCTTCAATCTTCAAAACAGAATTCTCTACTGGTATTTGCATATTAAGTAACAACGTGTGCCGGAAATGGAAGATTTTCAAGTGTATTTCCACCAGTCGCCGAGAGAACTTAAATCTGCACAAAATAATAGCTGACACTATCACGTACATCGATATCGCTGCTGCATAAAGTTTTTCAAAAACTGCACAAATAGTAATAACAAATACAAACAGACTTTTCAAATGAAACATAGAAAAATCGTTAAAATTACGAAAAAGTGCAATTTAGCAAAGGAGCCTGTCGATAGCTTACGTATATCATTCCACTGGTTTTTGCAGCATTCCACCAACTGTCGATTTTTGTTTGTAGTTTGGAAAGATGGCGTAATTATACCACTGCAAATAGTTATTGACACGGTGTGTGTATAGGTCACGTGATGGGCCGCAACTGTGGCAGTTCACGTCCAGATGTACGAAGGGACAATGCGGCTTTATGGGCCACTCGGTCGCCCGGGGATCTGATAGCCTGCCAAGAGATACCGCTACGCCGTGTGGATAGTAGTAGTATGTTCAGCAAGCGGTCAATCAACTTACGCTGCGTGTGCCGGCATGATGGCTGCAACAATCAGACGGTGACTGATATGCTGCGTATACGCCAGGAACGCCAGTATGATGAGGCGGAGGTGAGGTCAGAATTCATTACCAGATACACCAATCCGGAGCCGCTGGGCGATGTCGTCACGGAGGAGAATGCTGGAGAGAATACCGAGCACGAAGTTCCACCTTACGAGGTACGTTACAACACCGGACTTTATTTTTTGTTTTGGCAGTGTGCAGTTAGAGCAGGCTAGTCAAATTTGAGTAAACTCAGTAAATTGCGATAAATAAAATAAGCTATGTAAATAAAATCTATAATAAACTTTTAAAAACTAAAATTAAAATGCTTAAAAATAAGTATATTAAATTTAAATATAAAAATATAAGTACCGTAGAAAAGACGCTACGATTAAATTTTTCCATTACCGATGAATCTATGCCATAATAAATGCAAAATGAACATAACAACTGAACTCACAAAAAAATAAGTTCCATAGGTTTTACAGAAAGTGACGAATTTTACAGTTATTGTTTTTTTAATAGCTAATATGGTAATAATATTTACAGCTAGTTTTACCGAAAGAATACTTTGGGTGATTTTTCAGGGTGAAGAGAATCCGCCGAGTATTTTTCAGCGGCAGACAGCGGCATCGGAACAACTGTTGGCTGTCCCGAATTACTTTTTCTTCCGATAAAGGTTCCATGCAGACAAATCGCGGCAAAACAGCTGAAGACTTGCGGTATATAATTTTAACTACGCAATGTATCGGTTTTATTAACGTAATGATGGCTGGATTAATCCTGGAATTGCCGGCAATAAAAAATGATTGACGATGCCCATTCAACGGTCATATTCCCAATATAAACAATGCCTTTATGTATTCGGAGAAAGCAGAAAACATTATTTTTTTAATTCTTAATTAATTCTGCAATGTTGGCCGTAGTGATATGAATTACGACTGTTATGTCGCGACAAGAACATCAATAGAGAGCATTTAATTTATTTCAGTATTAATTTTGATCCATTTTAATAAAAAACCAACAGAATTTGTTTCTAGAGTGAAAAACAGTCGCCGAATATGGCTTCCCCGAAAAAGTTTTTCTTCCGATAAAAAATGGATATAAACTGATATAACACACAACACGATTCACATAACACAATATGGAGTTGCGTACTGGGCAACCTTTTTGTGCTAAGAAAAATATGGTCGCACAAGGGTTCTTTGATGAACCGGCTATGTTCGCATGCTTTTGCACTGGTTCACTGCAATATATAGTAACACAAGTGTTTAACTTGTCTAACAATTTCTTAGGGATAGGTCAAATTTTGCCACAAGAGCACCATGCTCGTATATAGATTTCAGCTGCCATGACACGTAAGATTAAGAGCAACCTTGAAAGGTTAAAGCGCTTCTAATAAATTTTTTTCAGCAAAGGAAAAAGCAACCGGCATAATTTATTTCAAATATTTCGAGCAAGTATATAATTATAATCGTATTCCACGAGTGGTTCTGAAATCCCGTATACGTAGACTCTACACCCACGCCATGTTGAGTAGCCCTATCGTCATACTATTCGCCACCGGCGCCGTGATCAGGAGTACAAACGATGAGATTAGAATGTTTCATAGCACGCGGGAATCTATTGCTAAAATGGGGATGACATTTGCTAATGCATTTACCGATCGCAGGTCTAGAATGTCACCAGTGCAGTTATACCAAAGATTTCAGCAATTCTTGCCGAAAAACATTTACATACTTGTCGAAGTTTGGGGGGTGTTCCGGTGAAACGGAGTTCTGCCAAGTGGCGATGGGCCTCATACCCGAGCCTGACCAGTTTTCCGGCTAAATGGGTACCTTATATTTTAATTGCAAACACATTTTCGGCACTTTAGATATCCTTTAAAATAAATTATAAGATAACACAAAAAGGATAATTAAATAAAAGACATAAAACTCCTCAGAATATCGTTTAACTTGTCTTTTTAAATACATAGACTGGTCCCGGATTGTTAACCGTACGGTACCTCACAAAACGAAGTGTACAGAAATATTAGTTAATTTAGGAAAGAGCTTCGCGTGCGCGGACAGAATTGGGTTTTTTTGCTGGATTTGTAACATGGCGCTTTAATTAACTGTTGGCACGTTACGTACAGATCACGTGATGGGTCGCAGGTGCGCCTGGACGGATACGGGATCAAAAATGAAAAACGAGGCTTTATGGGCGAATCGGCCCCCCGGGGATCTATAGCCTGCGAAGAGATTCCCTTCCGCCATATTAATCGCCACCTGCGCCATGATCCGGCGTACGAACGGTAAGATGGTGCATTCTTAATAGAAGTGGAGTCAGCTGGTAAAATGCGGATTATAATGGGTACCCAATGTACTCATCGTAAGCCTCGTCTGTCAACAGTGCAGTTTCTTTAGCGACCCCCAAAACACCTGCAAATTGCCGGGACGCGGAAACGGCACGCAACTACTGCAGTGTCCCGATGAGACAGGATTCTGCCTGTTGGGAATCTTCCTCGCACCCGACTTTAACCTGATTACCGATGAAAAAGGTAAGGTAGAAGAAGGTATATGTAGAGGATAATAACATTCCCTTATTCGGCAGCGATTATTATTTGCGATAATTTGTGAACGTACAGATCTACGTAGACTCAAAACTTGCAATAGAGGCATGAGTACGGTACCGTACTGAAAAAATGGAAACAAAAGTCGATAAAAAATCAGAAGGTCAATTGTACCCAGTGTTTTTCACAGCACTTGTCTTTAGTCTTTGAGTTGAGGAATAGTATTATTACTTATTCTCTCTCCACAAGTACAACCAAGTGGTTCTGCGTCCGTAGAGTGCGTACTCATGTGACATAGGCCTGCTTTTTTTCTGTAAAAATCAACGCTGCGTTTGAATTTCGGACACCTGAAATCTGCGCTAAAATCTTTCTTATACGTTCACCTTCCGTGCAGAAAAATTCGCACGTAATTAAGAGGTGTACGCAACTCAGAGGTATTTTTCAAGCGTACAGTAATTTTGGTATGCACACTTAATTCAGAGGATGTACGTTACTAAAAGTGCACTAGTACGTAACACCGAGGTTTTTCTGTAATGCCGCGATGTTCGTCTAGCTCACCTGATGGGTCGGAATTGCGCCCGGTCGGATCGAGATACACAAATGTTATGGGAGAATCGGACGCCCGGTGATCTGCTTGCCTGTGATAAGGCAGCCCTCCGAAAGGGACTTTTCCACAGTCATCCATGGATAACATTCCGCTGTGTGTGCCGGCATGATAATTGCAACAACCAGACGCTGACCGGCATACTGGCGCATTATGTACACCAGGAGACCATGAGGCTGTTGCGCTAAGCGCGGAGTTTGTTAGCTCCTTCACCGATCTAGAGCCGCTGCGTGGGGCCGTCCCGAAAGAGTGCTGGTGAGGGTACCGAGCACGCCGTCTGTGTTAACATTTGAACCAAAATAATGACAATTTTTCTGCTTCTTGCGGCTGTTTCCGCATGGTTAACTTGTGTAAGCAGCCTATATACGCGGTGAAGTAAATTGAACGATTATCCATTAGAAAGCTTCAAAAATGCAGTTATGATACAGCAGAAAACACAGCAATTAAAGTCGGAAGTAACAAGATTCAGCACAAAATATGTAGATATTTTATTTGGAGAAAGCTGCGCACACCACGTTTTACCACCAAAGTCTCCGCACACCACCTTTCACCACCAACAGGCTGCGCACACCACTGTTCGCACCACGTTTTGTCTCGGGCCACCATTTTTGCGCCACCTGCACCATGTATATTTAAAACAATCGGCGGTCTCGGGACACCACCTTATACTAGTAGTTTCGAAAAAATACAGTGCTCGGTCGTACATACGACTAATATGAGCTATGTACGTAGTATTTTTCGTGTCCCCGAGTTAAACAGTTTGTAAAAATACGTTAGCTAAACGTTAATTAAAGTCCAAAATTCGAACATGTTCGAATTTTGGCCTTTAACTAACGTTTAGGCGGTTTAGCTAACGTATTTTTCACAAACTGTTTCACTCGGGTGTTTGTACAGCAGGTAGTACTTTACTTAAAATACGTTGTGCCGGAATTACGAGTATAATGTTTTGGGTTTTTCAATATAGCGCAAGGCAAATCTTTACTATACAGCATGCGTAATGCAAGTAAGTAAGCAGAGAAAGTTCTTAAGAAGCGCTTGCTTACTTTTTGCTGTTCTTAAGTAGGTAAGCTCAGCAAAAAACATGTGGTTGCTTGCTTTCGGCAATTGCCGAAAGCAAGCAACCACCCCCCATCAATAATAAAATTATGAATCATAGTAATATCGGTACATCTATTTAGACGTTAACTCATACGGAAAACGTATGAATCACAATCACCCTTAAATCAGTGTTTTTTTGTCTTGAAAAAGACAAAATTTGTCCTGGAAGTTAATTTGTCCGACATAAGGTAATAATTTTGTCCGTACAAATTGTGCCGTCCCCGCCCCCCAATCGTTTATGAAATTAATTGCGGTTGTATTCCAAATATTATATTATCCGGTATATGTATTCTGTAGTACGATACTAGTAATTTTAATGCGCTTGTGTGGATTCATTTGTTTAGGCGCTTTTCTTCTTTATTAATCAGCAGGGAGATTTGGATTCGGTAGCTGTGGTGTATGTGTAAAATGATGCAATAGTTTTCGGCTGATACAAAATTGACACCGGCATCGAACAGTTAATTAATCACAGTTTGGGCAAAATTATATTCATCATTTCCTGGAAAAAGAATTTTTGCTCTCTGCATTCTGCAGACAGCTGCGGGTTTCTTTGTGGATGGTTTGTACAAACCATTCACTCCAATTTGGCTTGATTAGCATTAAAATTTAAACGTGCGGTTCGATTGTGAAGCAATCAGAGATTCATAACGGTGCAATGCGCACAGTAACCGTGCAACAATTCGCCAAAACAAAGAAATACGAGTATCGTAGCCATTCGCAGGCAAGCATCAATTCGTAATAAAATGCGGTTGCACTGTTCAGGCGATTTCAAAATCTTTGCCTAAAGACGCAATGACACAGCCTGATGCTCCCGGTTGTTATCCCAATAAATTAAATAGTTCCATATAAGCTGCCGCCGATGATTATTAATTGGAAACGTAAGACCAGTGAAATCAAGATTTAGTGGTGCAGCGCGGTATGAAGCTTGCGATCGAGTGAAATATCAAGTTTTGGGTTTTCACCACACTGACAACTTTTGCCGCGCGCACAGTTGAACTTGGCGCATTCAGCCGTTGCGACGCGATTCCGTGTGAAATCCTGATAAGAGGCTTTTTTGATAACAGTAATACTATCATGTACGCGTCCGTGCGCGTCTGCTATGGGAGGTCAGCCATTACTGTTTAATGTCTTCTGTTAATTAATCATATTAATGAATAGAAATAGGAAACAAAGTATTAAAAAATTAAAAAATAAACAAAGTATTACAGTACTTACTTCGGCGGTTTTCTTTATATACTGTAAGTACATGTATACTGTGACTGTGTACATATGTCATATAGCATACAGTATACATATGTCATATAGCCATATACCAATATAGGCACATATGTTAAGTATCAATATATCGAGCTGTATTTAATGAGATGAGTTCAACTTTACCGCCGGTATACCAGGTACTTGCGCTTTTGAAATAATTTAATTTTGCACTGATCATAAGTTTATAAACATACAGTTGTTTTAGAATTTAGCAGTATCTACTGCAGATAAAGGCGGACCGTTTCGGTTTTGTGCTTACCATGATTAGGAATCAGTTTAATTTACAGATACAAGGCCAATAAGTTTTTCAAGTAATTAACGTAATCGGTTAGTATTTATGGCGCGTGTGAAAAATTACACATGCCGACTTTCATTTACAGTGTCTACTTATTTTTTAGCTGCTTTCAGAATACAGAAGTCCGTAAGTCATATTTCGGTTATTGTGCGTATTCTCTGTAATCTATACACACATCGCTCTTTAGATCACAGTTTCACAGTATATTTACAGTTTTTCAGGATGACGATGCATGAGCGTGTATCAACTTCAGCATTTTCGTTTTTTAAAAGTTATAATGATGGAAAAAATATTTAGTAAAACATAATAATGTTATATAAGAGTATTCAAATGCTTGGGCCAAGCTGAGCTTTGGCCAGTAAAAATGCAGGTTTGTATGTTTATGTAAACCAGCTGCCGACAGCCACCGGTGCTTGGCAGTTGGCAGCTAAAGTATAGTTTTTGTATTTTCGAACAAAATTTGCCAAACCACGGCACTAATCGTTACGAACGAGATAAAGTTATAACTGCCTAGGCGTTATCAGTCAGCTCTGTAAACGATTTGCATGAACCGACATGCACTCCTGTGAATCATATGCGGTTATCTGTGAGCCACTCATCCGAAACATATGAAACTGTCTTTCCATATAAATGTTATTAATAGGGACCCGCAAACAAAAACAGCTTGCGTTCGGCAAGTTTGTAAAACCGAAAAATTGTAATTATAACCGAAGCGGAGACAAAAAAAGAGGAGCCAGGCCGTGAGACGTGGTGTGCAGAGACTGTGGTGGTGTGCACTCTGCCCTTGGTGGTGCTAGGAGATTTCGGTGGTTTTTGTAAAAAAATTAAAATATAATAAAAAGTGGTGTGCGGAGCCTGGCGGTGGTGTTTCGTGGTGTGCGGAGACTTTAGTGGTGAAACGTGGTGTGCGGAGCCTTCCCCATGTTATTTAAAGTGTATTTTTAGAAAGATTCCCACGCAATGATAAACCAGTAAATCAAGTTTTAATTCCTTTACAACAAAATTTAAACAATCGTATGTATGATAATACTCGTGTGATAATATGATAGTATGATAATAATCGTATGATAATACTCGTATGTTTCATTTAAAAGTAAATCGAATTAGCATTTGCTAATTTCAAAAGAAATTTAAGTTTCTGATTTTAAAAAACGAAGCACAGTGTGTCATCAAGTGAAAAAGTTATTTCAAATTAATTTTTCTCGGTTACAATACATATTGTTTTACCAAATTACAGTATAATCAGGGCACTCCATTCACAGACTGATCACATCCATCTTCACGCAGATAATCCCACAGTAAACATTGCAGCCCTTCAGAACTATCGGGAGGGTTAGGTATTTCCAGGAGCGCTAAGGCAACGATGATAATAAAAATGCAATAAAATTTGTAATAAAAAAACCACTATGCTTTTTCTGAACATTTTCAATACTTTTTCTGATTTTGTCTGTCGAACTTACCCAATACAATATCTAGCAGCTCGTCAAAGGTCACATCCAAAGCAAATATCTCGTCAAGTTTTCCTATAAGCTGAGCCGCCTCCGTGGCGTTCAGCAAGCGTCGGGGCAGCGTTATTGTCGTTTCATCCTCGAAGTCCCTGAACACACAAAAACAAGAAATAAAAAGTCAGTAATGGGAATTCTGCATAACCTGAAAATCTTACGTATCCGAAGGAACATCAAGTCGTTTTCGCTCGGCTTCATCACGGAGGAAACGTCGAATGACCGCGTCTACATTATCCTCCGTAGTGTCTTGTCGAAACGGATGCCTTCGCGTCAGGGCTAAGGTGGGGCGTGCGACCGTGGGCGTGGGCGTGGCTCGCTGTGAGATTTCGCTGGATGGATCGTTCCTATACAAATAGTAGAAAGGTCAGCACACGCGAAAACGAAGTGTGTTTGGCCGAGAGTTTGCCTGGGGGATGCAGCAACCGGGCCCAGGAACTGGTGATCGGAGTAGCTTGGGGAGAAGGCCGATAAACGGGAGATCCGCCCTGAGGGGACGCCTGCACGGGGCGGACTAGCCGAGAACGATAATTCGGAGGGGGAAGGACGCGTCAGGGTAGCGGATGCACGCAACGCCATTCTGCGTTCGTTGAGCAACACAAGCCACTTGACTCACTTCACTGGCTGGTGTTCCCCTCGTTCAGATCGCTAATGATGAACTGATATCGGTGAATTTTCTACTGTAAATTTACTTGCCATCCCTCATACTGGCATAATTCGTGGATAAATAGTGTAGCAGCAGGCTGTTGTTAGATTATAAAATTACAGTATAATGCGCGATGGCTTCCTCTTCTTTCGGCCATCTCTGGATCCATAAAATTAATGTTAAACAATAAACTATATTTATTTCAGTCCAGTAAGATATGCATAAATATGCCTTACTGCCCTGTCATACTTCATCCGTTACGGTACTTAGTTTGCACTTGTATTACGATACTTACTTATTAAAGGTTTCTCCATAAAATTTATATATACGTATCTGTACAATACATGTATGTCATAATGCTGCTGTGTTATGTGATCTCCGTGTTTTCTTCTACGTAGAGGATTTTCTGCATTAACAAACGATGAATACAGTCCGTAGAACACTAAAATAATTTTTAGTAGGCTGATAAGTATCAGGGAATTTACACTCAAAACAGACTTAACCGATTATCGATACCCAAACATTTTGCGAATACGACATATAAAGACTGTATATGTTTTCGCAAATTTATTGAAAGGTACAATTCCAGAAATTTAAAATTAGTTAGGTAACCACAGTATTATCAGACGGCGTCGGAAGTTAACAAAGTAAGAATGGAAAGAAAGTAAAATCCAGAAAGCATAAAAAATGGTATTATCTAAAGCAGATTAAAAAAACTAAATCGAAAACAGCAAAAGACGTTTAAAAAAGTAAAAAAAGAGAAAATTTCAAAACATACTAAAATCGTAAAACACACAAAACGGCGGAAATGAAAAATGGATAGCCGCAATACCCCCATAAAATCATCTTCACCGCTTATTTTTGACGGTACCCTTTGCGCATATCCCGCCCTTGGGGCTCTGCACATTCCCTTTCCCCCGCAGCTCCTGGAACGGCCGATCAATTACCTCCGCGTACCCGCGCTGCCGGCTAACCCGCCGCCCGGTGCGCGTGCTCCGCAAAGCGATACTATCAAACCGCGGTCGGTACATGAGATCCCCTTCTTCCGGATGGACATTCCGCCCGAAAGCATTATACTGCGAGTACCAGTCCCGCGTGGGATGGTACGCCGGGGCCGGCACCGGGTCCGGACGTCCTGAGGCCACCACGTTAGTGTCCCCACAACTTAGACAGTGCAGGGCGCCGTAACCAGTCCCCGCGGCCGATCGTACGGGATTTCGTTCAGCCAGTTTATCCTCCAGGGTGTCGGTGAGGTTCTGGACGAAACTCCGTAACTGATCGACGGAGGTGCGGTTGGCGCGGGTGCTCATGGTCTCCAGGAGCTTTCCCACTTCCGTCTTGATGATCTGCTCGTTGCGCTCTACTTGCCGGGAGAGCGCGGTGATCTGGGCACCGGACGAACGAATAAACTCCTCGATGGCGACTTTTCCGACCTTCTCCCGGACCTCCTCGACATCGGCTTTCGAGTCCAGGGAGTCCTTCATCAGGCGATTGTCCGCCTTGGTGCGCTTTAATTCGTTGCACAGGAGGAACAGGCGGTCGGTCTTCTGAAGTAGCTCCTTCCCGATGACGTCGTAGTTCTTCATATCCACGATGACCTGGTCGTAGTCGTCCAGCATCTTCTCCACCAAGTGCATATCCAGTTGCTCCACCTTAAGGTGCGGGCGCCGGCGTTCCTTAAACATCTGGATGACGTCACTGATATCCGCTTCCAGGCTGTGGTGCTTCTCAGCCAGGATGATAATCTGTTCATCCACGAACCGCTGCAGTTTGTCGTACTGTTGCCGGAGACCCTCCAAATCCGTTCCCAGGGTGTCCATCCGCGGGAGATGGACGTCCGGATGCATTCCGAACGGGCACGTCTCCCCCGCAACCAGTGCGCATTGGGTACTCCGGCCCGGGGCGACCGGCACGGAGGGTTTACTGGGGACGCTGGAAACGCTCGACCGGCTGAAGAACGTCGAGGATTTTCGGGGCGCCGCCTTCCGCGTCTCCTCCGCGAATACCTGGAAGGAAGCGGTGAGCTCATCGTGCGCCGCCTTCACGGCTTTAATCTCCTCGGCGGCCTGCTCGATCCGACGCGTCTGTTCCGCGAGATCCGCCGCGGCCTTCTTAAACCGCTCCGCCACTGTCTTCTCGTCGGCCTTCGCGGTTTTCATCTCCGTCAGCCGCGTCTCGTGCCCGTCGACGTCCACCCTCAATTTCTGAAGAATCGGGGACGCTAACTCCTTGGCGGTTTGCGCCGCTGGTGGTACTTCCTCTATCTTCTGCTTCTTCACCGCAGGAACCTCATCTTCGTGCTTCCGCTTCGCCATTTCCCCGATCGTCTTCAAATCCGTCCCTTGAAGCGCGTTGAGGATCCCCTGCCAGGTCGCCAGTTCCGCCTGGGGAATATCCGGCACGCCGAGACGGTTGACCTTTTTCAGCGCCTCCTGTAGCTCCCCGTTCAACCCCTCCGTGTTCTTCTCGAACCGCGACACCTGGGTGATAAGGTCGTCGACCAACGACGCCACTTTCTCCACGGCGCCCTCCAGCGCATCGATCCGCCCGATCAGTTTTAGGTTGTGGTACAAATCCGCCACGGGGCGACGGGGCGTGGTCTTCCCAGTGCCCTGATCGAAAAGCTCCTGATTGGTGGGCGTGGCTAGGAGAGACTGCAAAGTGGTTTCAAGCCTGGTCACCCGCCTCAGGAGGTTCTGATCGGCGGTGGGGGTGACGGTGGCATGATGTTCCAACGGGATCGGAGCGCTTTGGGACGCGAGATTGGTCTCCTGGAGGAGGGCGCCAAGGATCCGGCGAAGAATATTAAAGTTAACGGCACCAGGGTCGTTGGAGCTGATGGCCAGATCGAGTAACTGCGCGAAGGATGTTGACGCGGCCATGATTCAAAAATACATAACGCGTTTACATTCCGGGCTTCCATAGTGATGGAACACGGCGCAAGGGATGGCGGCCCTGTATCCGCTATGTTCTCCTACGTCTTATATGTTCGAATCAAACATATAAAACGTTGCATCGAACAGTTCGATGCAACGAACATTAGCCAGTCGGTCCGCGGTTCAAAAATTACGTAACTGCGTAATCAAATCAACGATATGCAACAGGAACACATCCGATGCGCATAAATCGCCGGCACTGTGTTACGAACGGGGAAATGTTTGTCTGCGCAGAATGGGTACAAGGAAACACCTACGTTTTTTAGTCGCACACTGTTAGTACTATCTAAGTACTTACATAACATTTTCCCTCATTTTCGAATCCAGCTGTTTTTGTTGGTTTACCGCGTTTGCCGTAGTGTTGCTAGGAAAGGTCAGGCTGATATAAAATTAACGGAACCGAGTTTGACGCCTATTAAAGGTCTTAGTGTTATTGCTATTATGTACACACACATTGAACAAGTGTGGAAAAAACAGCTTCTGTAGTATCTCGACTTTTATCTGGGATTGCGCCAGTGGTTCGCCGCTCGCGATTATCCGCTCGAAAATTACTGGGGATTCGTTTATTGATTATCTGCGGCGGCGCTTAACGGTGCGGACTATGAGCGATAAGGAGAAGAAAAAGAGCACATCGCCCGCTCCTCCCAAGCCAGGTGAATATGTTGTCACTGTTTCAAAATTTCGCGACATTTTGTCAGTTGTGCTATGCTACGACGTGCAAAAATCTCTTTTGCAGTAAAATATATATACGTGTAATTATATTTATATCTATATCAATTTCTATTTCAGTTACATCTGCCTTTAAAAGCGATAATACTAATATTTTCATTTATATAATATATTCATTTTCATTTCCATTTATACCATTATTTTTAATGGTTAAAATAATCATATTTAATATTATTATATATTAAATAATAATAGTTTCACTTTCACCATTATTTCCTAGAGATTTTTTTATTTTTTGGTACGTCATACATGTACTGCGTAAAATTACTGTAACCGGTTATTCTTTTCGAGCTGAAAATACGAGTAATAAGTATGATTTTATGCTTCTGGCTCGCTTGCCAGGAATTTTCAATGGAATGTAGATTTAAACAGCAAATCAGTGTACAGAAATTTCACCCTGAAATGCAAGCAAAATCACGAAGACAAGGTTTTCAGAGCTATGCGCGAACCAAAATCCCAAATGCTGTTACCTAATTTTTGAACAGGAAGTGCATCTGCAAAGAAATAAATCAATTAAGAGGCGGTAAAAGTGCTCGTTAAAAAAAGTTGTTCATGTAATCTCGCGCAGCACACTTTGTATAGTTTTGCGAGGATTGTTTTCACTTCCTTGATTAGCTGCGATTAGCCCGTATTCTACGAATCTTCGATAAATCATCACTCGGGGCAGCAGATTTCGCTTTAGGCTAGCTGATTTGCCGAATCCACTAGAAAGCCTGATGTATCTGTACTCAAATCGATGGGAGAGAGAAGATCATTGCAATATTATCTGAATAAAGCTGTACTAATACTGAATCAAAATGCATATCTATAATAAACATGGTACGAAAGGGGTGCCTATAATATGCGGGGGGTTAAAGGTTGCCTATAAGGAAGCCCTTTTCAAAATGTTAGTATAACGTGAAAAGGTTCTAACAAATTTCAAAACAAAAATCGAATTATAGTATTGTGGAACTTAATTGGTTTTAACAAAGAAAAGTAACCAGATGCTCCACTTAAGACCGTGTATTTGTCAAATCAGGAAACATAAATTATTTATTGACCTACCCTGATATAATTGAACAACTGATTTATATAATTTTCTTAATTGCATGTATATAATTTGCATAAGTTAAGGATCAGTTTTGTCAATCGCTTATTTGTAAATATCCTCATTTATCACCAAATAATTACTAGCAGCAGCGAAGTTTAATATTGAAATAATATAGTTCTATCTGCTATGGCAGGCAAACCGGAAGTGAAGACCAAAGTCTTGCATAAACCGGAGGAAGCCGAGGGCATCGTCCCGGTGCCGATCCTGCGCACCTCCAGCACGCACCTCCACGACCACACCGGCCACCACGGGCACAGCCACGCCCACGCCCCGCACCACGCCCACCACCACCACACCTCCGGGACCGGGACCACCACCGCCGCCCCGGGCCATACCGGCAGCAACAGCAGTTATGCTTCTAATCACAGCCACCCGCACAAGGGCGTCAGCTTCATTGACGGATCGGCGCCGGGCGGTAAGCAGCTGCCGGTGGTGGAGGAGCACAAGAAGATCCCCTGCTTTGAGCCGTCCCCGGCGGCCATCAGCAGTAAACCGCTGGACATCCCCGAGGAGACCTGGTCGGATCTGATTCTGCATAAGTGCCATGATGTGCGGGAGTTGAAGAAGGAGATCAAGGAGATTAAGCGGCACGAGGGCGAGGCGACGCCGGCAACCGCCACGGGGACGCACCGCCATGAATCGCGAGAGCGGCGGCATACGCATAATTGATCCGGTTTGCTCTTTGCTTTTATTGTGATTTTTAAAATGTAGTTTTAAATAACAGTAAGAAAATGTTTTCACATTATTTTTGGCGGCGGCTCTCTTCAAATTACTGGATTTCTACAAAATTGAAGAATAAATCCAAAATTTGTCGAACAGTGTGTATACGAGTACTATACGGTCTGCTCTCAATAATGAAAAATGTGATTCGACAATTTAGGACGACTAGAACAATTTTAAATAAATACTATCAACCATGAACACAAAACTGCGAAAAAGCCTTTTATTAGCAAAATACTATAGAAATACTTGAACGATTAATGCCAGCTTATGGATAAATCATTACGCAGTAAATCTGCCAACAAACGCTCGCAATATTTCGATAAACTACAATAAATAATAAATATTGAAGCTACCGAATATATAATATATGAAGCTGCCGAAAAACGTTCGCAATAAATCGTTGGTTACATCAATGTCAATTTGGTAAATTTGATTTTAATTATACAAAATTAATTTAAATTTTGTTAACTGTGTTTTATATAATTTTGTAAAATTAACGTTTTTATATGTTTTACAACTTTTATGTGATAGTGCAAATAATTTTATAACATGCCCAAAGCGAGATATTTGCTGTGATTTTATTAGCAACGTTAAAATACGATGATAATATTATTATGTCTTGTGCAAACATAATTGACCGGGTTTTAACTTTGCGATAACCTGCAGTACATCCTGTACGTTATAAATAATGACAATCATATCAGCATTTTATCGGTACAGCGTCATCCTGGATTTTGGCGCACCGCACTGCCCAGGCGTGATTAACGATACACTGCCGGCAGAATTTTATATTACCGCGATATAATTAACCGCGTTAATTTCATACTTTGCCCTGCCGCTGAATTATTATCACTCAACACACGAGAATTGTCGTACGTACAGTTTTACGAGTACCACACTGAGATTATTAAAGCAGCGGCGCCGTATGACAGCACGCGTCGAGCATGCTCAACTTCACGTGCCTAGAAGCAATTTATTACGCGCTGCATATCCACATTTCACAGCGCTGAAACAAGTTATTTTTGTAACAAAAATTCATTCCAACAAGAAACATTTTTCCGCCACACCACTTTCCATTAAGACCGTCGTGGAACAACGTATGATACACCGCAATGTTGCCCGCTAAAGTACTGCGTTCGCGATTACTGGCACTGGTTAAACGCGCAGGTACAGCAGGCAGTTTTTATTTACCGTTGAGTTTTCCTGTAATTTTATATGAATTTTAGAAAATGATTGTGCTCGAAATTTGAGTAGCGGATGCTCCGTCAGCGATACGGAACCGGATGGACCGTGTATTAAAACGGCCGTTCCCGGGCCGAAATCACGCGAACTCCGCAAATCATTGGCAACAATCCAGGTAAAATAAATTCCATATTTTCTCGAAATAAAAACAAATTACTAAATACGAACTAGCGGGGGAAAAAATTCACCAGGAAACTAGTTTACGTAGGAAGTAAGACTCAAATAAAACAAATAATGTGAATTATTAGAGATAAATAAAAATAATAATAATACGGTTGTTATGAAATAAATGCAAAACGCTGTAAAAGCAACAATACGTATATAAACTAATAAACTTAAATATTTGCAACAGAATGCCGAAACGGTGCAATTTTTTGCGGATTACGAGAAAAGCCGCGGTAATTACATAGCGGATGCCGATGGGAATTTGTTGCTGGATGTGTATATGCAAATCTCCACAATCGCTCTCGGTAAGTACAGAAATTATCTTCACTAATAATTTTACTGCAAAAGCTGCACCGTTGAATTACGCAAATAAGCAAAATACGTGTATAGCTAGGGAAATAAATGCAAAATATGCAAAAATGTTATTAATTTAGCAATTACGATTTAAAATTTAGCTAATTAACAATTAATTTAATATTAATTTTCTTGTTAAAGCGAGTCTATGTAATTTCAGTGCATGTGATTTATTAGGCTATAATCATCCCGAGTTGAAGAAAGTTGCTCAAAGTCCGGAATTTCAGGTGCGTCAAGCCGGCAAAAAATGCTGATGCAACGGAATGTATTGTTAACGCATGTGTTTTTCTTATATAGGCGATGTGTATTAACCGGCCGGCGCTCGGAACTACACCGCCAACCAGTCTAGTCCAGAGGCTACACGATACGCTGCTTTCGGTATATTCCGCAGAAACTGCTATATCCGCACTTTTCATGAATTGCGTTTTCTGGTGCCTATTTATCGGTATGCAAAAAATGAAGGACATTTTTTGTGTAATTTGTAGGTGGCTCCCAAAGGTTTACATCATGTTCACACGATGGCATGCGGATCGTGTGCCAACGAAAACGCTTTCAAGACCATCTTCATGTGGTACAATGTGCGTGCAAAATAATTTTTGGTATACATTTTACTAGCATTTTATTTTTTTTATGAATGTTTTTAACTTTTAGTTGCCTTGACGTTTCTTATTACTATATTTACGCTAACGCAATCGGTCATGGTGGTACGCAGTGTCAGTTTATATTATATATATGTGTTGAATATCGTATATATTTTCTCTGCCAAAAGTGTGTTTTTGCTGTCAGCGTTCACCATTTAAATAACAATTCAGTTCTGTGTAAGTACGAGTAAATTATCGATCTAATGTTGACATAATTGGCAATTTGTAGAATAAGCTGCGTGACGGAAAACCGTATACGGAGGAGGAGCTTGAACAATCTCTAGAAAACAAAGGCCCGGCGTGTCCACCGCTCACCATGCTGGCTTTCCAGGGCGGATTCCATGGGCGAACATTCGGTTAGTTCACAGCATTAAATTAGCTAGTAAAAATTAATTAAAAGGTAATAAGATAAAATTCCTGAAACTGATGATAATTTCTAAAATCGATATTCGAAAGTACAATTCATCTGCCGGTTGTAGGCTGCCTGGCGGCATCGCATTCCCGCTCCTACTATAAACGCGACATCCCTACATTAGACTGGCCGACGTCGCCCTTCCCGCGCTACAAATACCCTGTAGCACTGCATGCCGAAGCCAACCGCCGTGAGGATCAGCGATGTCTGGCGCGTGTGCAGGAACTGTTTGCCGAGTACATTGGGCAGGGTCAGCCGGTGGCTGGAGTGGTCGTCGAGCCGATTCAAGCCGAAGGCGGGGATAATCACGCTTCGGCGGAATTCTTCCAGCAACTGCAGTATATTACCAAAAAGGTCACTCATCCATTAAATGTTCTTAAACACTTTTAATGGAGCCTTAACGGGTTAAAACTAAAAAATTATAGTTTATTATCGTTCCTGCGAAAGTTGATAATGATAACAAATTAACAATCCTATGTTCGTATATTTTTTTATTTAAGATTTCTATCACTGAATATTTAGAAATTTATTACCTTACGTTTTTCATAAATGATTACTGACAATAAACGCTGAATAAGGCAATTATTAAATACTTATTAATTCTAGATAGTAGCTGGTTTAATTACATGATAGAATGAATCTCATTAATTTTCTAATGATCCGTTTTTGATGTACGTAGAATGGGGCGGCGCTAATGTTCGATGAAGTGCACACAGGTGGCGGTTCCACCGGCAGCATGTGGATGCACGAACAGTTCAATCTGGACACGCCAGCCGATGTGGTGTCGTTCAGCAAGAAGTTCATGACTGGTGGCTACTTCTACCACAAAGATCTCTACGTTCAAGAAGTACGTAACGAACACACACACACTCAGTATTCGCTATAGAGGCCTCAACCTTGCTCTATAGCGGTATATTATAACAGGGCTTTAAGATATTCAATACGTGGATGGGCGATCCAACCAAATTAATTCTACTGGAGAAAGCGCTGGAAGTTATCCGCCGGGATGACCTTTTAACCACCGTTGAACAGTCTGCGAAAATTCTTGAAAAAGGGCTGCAAACCTTGCAGGTACGCCGAAACGCTGATGCAGCAATCTTACGCCCTGTAACGAATATTAACGCTACAGGAAAAGTATCCAGAATTCATAAGGAACAGTCGTGGAAGCGGCACACTTCGAGCGTTCGATCTGCCGGATGCGGAAACAACAGCACGATTTGTTAAGGAAATGCGCAACAGCGGTAAGCAAGGCTTTTTCTCAAACGGCACTCGAAGAGTTCCGTACAATAACTGATCTGAAATAACAAAAATAATATTTACTTATATAGATCAAATTAAATAATAAAGTAAACGCGTGCAAATTAGATAAACAAGTTCGTTTAACAATAATATACAGAGTATAATGGCTACATGAACAGTTAAGCAAATAAGACAAATAAATAAATATAAGCAGTGTAACGAATCTTTAATGCGCACTGGTTTTTGTAGGAGTACAAATCGGCACTTCCGGTCCCACAACCATCCGTATCCGCCCGGCGCTCATTTTCCAGCCGAAGCACGCCCAGCTCTTCCTGGATACAGTGGATGAGGTGTTGCGGTTGCACATGTTCCGCCAGACCGCGAACGGGAAGCTAAAGTTTTGCACATACCACAGCGCCCATCACATCTGCGACGAAATGGTCACCCGCGTACATTCTGCGCCAAAAGCTAAAGCACACAATTAAGAGAGGGCGGCGCATCGGCAGTAACCGTCCGCCAATTCAGCGAATAATTATGGAAGGTTGTCATAAACCTGCAAAATGCTCAACTTACCGATTTGCATGCTCGAATTTTCACCAACGTCGGATTCCGAGCTCTTGATTTTTAATACTCAATTATTTTCAGCTTTTCGATTATTCGAAGCATTAGACTGAATACTTACAAGAAAATTTTTTATCTATTTTTATAAGCAGGTTGACATGTTCTTGCAAACACGGAGCGAACACAGCAATAAAATGCTAACAGAATTTGTCTGACAGAATTTAGCAACTTACCAGGATGATCCAGATTTTCTCAGTCGCTCTCAGTTTTCCGCGTATTTAATGGCTGCACCGTACGTTTTAAGTAAATCCCCAACTTTACTCGCTTTCAAAATCCTTTCAACACACGATTTTTGCTGATCAATCGTCTTCTTTGTCACTTTCTTCTGCGCCTCGATCCTTCTTTCCAACACCGAGCATGACTTTTTCAGCTGAAACACTTCCTCATTCAAAGCCTTTACACGGCATTCCACATCCACTTGACTACTTTTCTCATGATACTTCGCTACGGCGTCCATCAGCCGCTGACGCCACTGCAGCACTTCTTCCTTCAACTCCGCGATGACCTTATCTTTCCCCGCCAACAGCGACCCGCGCTGTGTCACAACCGAACGAAGCTCTTCATTCTCCTGCAGCGCACCAATCACTTTCTCCAGCTCCGCCTCCAAATGGCAGCACTTTTCCACGGTGTTGTCTAAACGCTGAGAAAGGTCACTGATTTCTGATTCTTTTTTTAATAAAACGGTGTGTAGTTCTTCGCGCTCGTAGTGGAAGAGCGCGCGTTCCGCCGCGAACCCGGATTTGTCCTGCTCCAGTTTGTCGATCCGTTTCTTCAGAACGTCGAGTTGCTCATCTTTGGCGTGGAGGAGAGGTCGCAGTGCCGCCTGTTGACGCTGCGCGCTCTGCCGGACGATTAGCTCCAACGAACGGATCTGCTCTTTGTAGCTGTCTTTGATGTGGCTGAGCTCCTGGAATTTGTCGGCCAACTCATCGAAACGCTGGCTGAGCGCATCGGCGCGCTGGCGTTCCGTGACAAAGTCCGCGGGAATCAGCTGTGCTTGACGTTCAGCCTGTTCACTGAGGAGCGCGATCAGCGAAGACTGCTCGTGCAGACGCTGGCGGAGGCGTTTGATTTCCGTGTCTTTGGCCGAGGTTTCCGTGTCTCCTTGGCAAGTGATCGTGTCGCCGTTGTCATCAGTCATTGTGGATCCGCAATATTGAAATGATAGCCTCTGGATTTGCTAAACCAATGCTGAAAAGCTTCCCAAAATTCTGCTACGATCACTGATTATTATAGCTGATAGCGTTGTTCAAGAAGAAGATCCCTTTGAAAAATGATAATCTTTCGTATTTTATATCTGTGATACTGTGAAAGGCTTCCCGGATTGTAAAGGCAAACAGAGATGCCTTTCAGATTTAGACGAATATTATTCTTACCAGAAAAAACGCCATACGGCCATAGCGCAAAATTAAAGTAAAGAAACACTGGCAAAGTTGCAGACAGCATAATCGCGCATTTTGCTGGTACCTTGACTATCGCTTTAAGCGTTAAATAATTCAGCAGACAGAGTACGCAAGTTTTTCATTTTAATTCCTTGAACATAATTATTGTCTTGAAATTAAGCAGTAATACTGTTTATTTACAAAACATAATAACCTTTTTCAAGCATATGTGTATACAGTATACATACTGTACAGATCATAAACAAATTATTACTGTACATATTCCAAACAAAAAATATAGGGGGCAAAACTAAGCGTGTTCCACGGTTGCCCTGTACTGCTGCCGTCACCCGCCTGGAGTGTGACGTTACGGCAGTACATATGGTTAAATGGCGCGGTACATAAGCGCCATGTTCAGCCACAACGTAAAACTCCAGCCGGGTGACGGCAGCAGTAGCCGGAAACGGTGGAACACGTTTAGTTTTGCCCCCTATATTATTAATTTAGAATAATTACTGTATGTACAGTATTTCTTTGTACAGAATGTAATCAGGACAGTACTTTGTACGAGTACATACAATAATTTATAAGTACAGTATCTGTATTGGTACTGTACCGACAGTCTGCACTAGAAGAAAATTTTTACAGCATGAGCAGGATTAAAGTAAGTACAGTCTGTGAACGGTTATTAGATGGAAGCACACTGTAACACCCGTCAATATTTTCTGTAGTAGTGTAATACTAATTTTTCTTATGCGAATCGACTTCAACAAAATGAGGTTGCTTCATGCGTCGCGGGGCAACCAGCAAGTAAGACTGTAAGAGTAATGGCTCGTGAAGAGTTTAGAACACAAAATGCTGTAACAGCATTACAGTAGATGCCAAAATTATATTAAGCCGATTAGATACAACGCGACATAAACATTTTATATTGCCAACCTACAGTAGTTACTCAAAAAAAGGGAGGAGGGAGATCTACAGCGTGAACAGTACGAGTATCTGTGCTACTGTGCTTGGAAAATATAATTTCTCTGGCGAAACTGAAATGCTGTAGATGGATGTATTTTTTTCTCGCATTGCCGCTACACTTCCCGCACCTGAACGGCTGGGCGAGTAGTCTGCCACGGTTACATCCCAAACTAGCGGCTTTCTATTTTTCTTTCAAGGGAAAGCTGTCACTCCGTTAGGTGGTTTTCCTTCGTCTCTGCTTGAACCGACCGGTTTTAAAATTAATGGTTGCACTGACCAGCTACATCACTGTAGTTTCCAATGACATCATAGTGGCAGGACATCACAGGTACTTGTTGCGGGGGCATCATAGCGTTACTTCCGTTACGGACACAAATTATTCAGTGTATTAGTCTTAAATGTGACGCCCCGCTCCATTCCGGTCGACAGTCATACACTCGTATTATGTATAAGAACGCAGAGTACTTATCTGTACTTGATAATACTTGTGTGTGTCAATAATATAAAACCAACAAATATTTTTCTTTATGTATTTCATGTATCTGGTCTGTTTTATATAGCGATTGTCAGGTAGGGGTCATGTTGCCGCAGTGCTCGATCCTTGTTGTCATACTGCGGCAAAATATTCATAGTCATCAAATAAGTGATACATATCACGCTGCAATCCGATGATGGGTGAGCACGAGCACCACTGCCCTGTGCGTCAGACCGGTTCACTAACACATACGGTTTTTGTGCTCTGCTCAAACAAGGATAATTATTAAGATTGAGTATCGAGCGGTTGATTAGAACAGCTTGCGAAATAACTGCACTTATTCCCAGGAGTCTTCGCAAAGCTCGTGAACGGGTGAATTATTCCAGTATCCTAAACATCCCCTCCGACAACTGATCATCATGTTCCTCATTCCGCACTTTCGCTCGTCGCCAAAGAAATCTGCCGAAAAATCGAGAAAGAACACTCACGCTGATACGATTTAATTTTCGCACATTTAAAGTCTGCAAATCGTCTCTCGACCACTCTCGGTTAAATTAATGCGCAGAAGGACGCGGATCGGAGCGCTGGAATTTATCCAGTATCTGCAAAACACATTGGCGTTGCAAAGCTGGTACAGCAATACCGTATTCTACAAATTCTTTGTAAGTCACCTCAATGATCGAAAGATAGCCTTCTCTGAAACTTCTTCTTCTCTGTATCCACTGTTCGACATGCTGCAACTCCTGCGGCTCCGCAGATGGCAGTTGTGACTCGAACAGCTCCCAGATCTGGACAGCACTGATGCTGCGCAGATTGAATTCCGCGCGCGAAAAGCGACACTGTATTCCAATTTCAGGTATTCCTCTCCAGTATCCGAGTGAAATGTAGGTCCAGATTATGCGTTGACACCACGGTGCCAGCTTGGAGTATGAGTGAGCCAGAGCAGCGCAGCAGCTTCCAAAAGTGTCATCGAATACGCAGAAGCCTGTCATATTGCGATTGTCGAAAATTAACCGATCAACGTTGGATCCGATGTTTTCCAGTACGAGGCAAGCGGCAACACTTTCCCATCGCTTTAGTAAATTACATCACTTTACCTGCTGCAACTTACCCGTGTGGAGGCGCTCACGTGATACTTGATTTCAGTCGTTTCACGTCTAAACTCTAAACCGGTCTGCGGCTATAGTTGATTACGCAAACTGATAAAGAATATAGAGAAGAGCACGGCAGGCGAGATTTTATCGCCGGCTCAGTAAGCGCTGATCAGTGATCACAATAGGTACGATATCACGTGAAAGCCTGCACACGGGTAAGATGCAGCAGGGAAAGTGATGTAATTTACTAAAGCGATGGGAAAGAGTTGCCGCTTGCCTCGTACCATTTGAATGTAGTTGATATTTGGTTCGTAGCCGTGGTAGTGCGTGCAAAGAAAGCTGTCCCGTATGCAGATTGTGCGCGTGTTCACGCTAGTAAGCTTTAGAATGCAAGCATAGGCATTGTAGTTGGAATGCTGATTATCCGTAGTATAGGGACGCATTTGCACATGGACTTCCCGGCAAAGTTCGGGCAAGCTGAGAATTTCTTCCCACAGGTGGCAAGTGCGTCGGCAGCGCACTCGGTCGACGGAGTCCAGTGACTGGAAGATCCCTTTGAGAAGCTTCACTGGCAGCTGGAAACTGGGTGCGCCGGGATTCACCGTTTTCTCCTCGTCAGGCAGAATTTCAACCTTGTGATCTTTCATTTTTTCTCCATCTTTTACTACCCGATCACGGCACTCTCCGAAGCGTTCCCACTAATTAAAAAAAGGATCGCGTCAGTTCAATGGAGTAATAGTTCTTGGATGCAGAATTACTGTGGTATTTTAAATACTGTATGCTTTATTGAGTATACTGCACCATTACGCTTTTGTGTACATAATATGAGTAAACGAATACATAATTATAGCAAGTAAATCTTGTTAAATTTATCCGCTTCGCCAGCGGTTCCCAATACAGATGCCGCGTTTCCTCTCTGAATTTCCAGAGATAATCGTTGTCGCAGAAATTCGTGGGAGCGGGGTTCTCCAGTATGCTGCTGAAGTCTTTTTCCAAGCTCTTTGACAATCGCGATAGCCGACGGTCCCCATGGACCCATTGTTTCAAACGCGATTTTAAATTACCTGCGATTTTTTACTTGTTGCGAGGGATTTAAATAATATATGGTATTGTATTGTATAAAAAGGCTACGCCTTCCTGCTCCAAGTACTCTGTACATTTAGATCTGTAACTGTTCAAGCCAGATGAGCTGCTGCTTGCGTGTTCAGTCTTAAGTGTAGTCCATCTACACTTCCGGCACATGTATCGTCATAAAGTACATCCGCATCTGTTTCTATTAGAATCCTACATTACATGTTGAATACTTTTAGGTTTCGCTTTCACAAAAAAGTTCTGCGTTATTTTTGACAGTAAGTTTTTACATTCAAAGTGTCTGTATTTGTCCACATTGGAGCGAAAACCCTTTGTGCGCGCATTTTTCACGTATGGAATTATTGGTGAAGAATGATTTCAAAATGTTTAAGAAAATACAAACGATGCTGTTAAAGCATCTCATCTGGTTTATATAGCGCTTCCAGAACACAGCTATGATTATGGTTACCAGAACGGGGAAAAACCAGTTCACTGTGCGGCCCGATCGTAAGCCTCAATTTATTAGAACGTCCGGTACGCACGGAAGAAGAACGAAAACTAAAATCAGGTTTAGATTTAGAATGGGCTTCCGATAATTGTGCTAAGTATGCTACGATCATAGTAAAGCTGATTAGAACAGATAGTCATAACATGGTGAACCGCTTAGACCGCATGTAAACGTATTCCGCATGTAGTAAACGTACAAGCGTAAATATGTGGATTAGCTTTACACCGAGCAGGTTTTTTTACAATTTTCAAATTTTTGGAGAAACTTTTTGAGATTTATATCAAGTTAAAACGATTTTCGTATTTACTGTACGTACTTCTGTTACATACTCTAACCTAATGTTAATTTCCTCCACAAAATGGATGTTGCAACATAAACGGTTCACAACTTTTAAGCTGATGTATACAAATCACCTGGCTATGGAATTTCACAAAACAATGCAAAGACTGTTTTGGAGAATGGTCGAGCGAAACTCCGCGTTCAAGTACACGGATCTGGTACCATGCGGCGGGTTGATTCCTTTAAAACGTTTGCTGTTGATTGTGTACGCGTCTGTCTTTCAGTAAATATCTCGACTGTCAACAGTTTGTTTGGTAATCAAAAGCGTGCGATAATTAGGGCTGATGTACAGGTACGTACGGCATATTTCAGCATGTTCACGGAAAAAGGCTAATGCTTCACCAATCTGTACAGCCGTTGCGCGGATGATCCGCAGGTCAAAGATTTGATCAAAGCGCGCGGTTGGTACAACGCGGAGAGAAGCCTTTTCATGGGGAAACTATGTCAATTATCCATCAATCCCCTTCGGCATGCCCGGGCTTTTCGTTACTGTGAAATGCAGAATCCGGCACTTTTTGCGCAGTTCACGCGAGAACTGGTACGGACGCCGCACAACGCTTCCGAGGCACACCGCTATGTCTGCGAGTAAGAAAAAACACCGAACTGTTAATAAATATATGACTTAGTAAGAGTACAACGACTTGTCGGTATTTATGCAATTTGCAGTACTGTCCGCTTGCACGGCGAAAGGATCAATGGAACCATGCACACGGACCTGATGGCTTCCTGTGGACGAGATGCGGTGGAGGTTATGGAAGGAAACATACAGATGTTATATGCTGCCCACTGCTCCGACTGATATCGCTTGACCGTCGCCGTTACTCTCTGCGTTCGCTACTGTTAACGTTAACTACAGAGTGCGGTTTCCATGCATACCAATGATACCAGCATTCAATCCGGTGTTGTCCGCTTAGTCATTTTAGCATTTTTGCATGTGATCGAACGATACACCAAAAGATCAATTTTTGTATGCCGATAAAAGGTTTATCGTATTCGTGGCTGACAGTTGTTCACCACAGAAAAAGCAGCATTCGCTTTCGGCATGCTCAAATCGCGTTGCTCAATTACTGTAGTGACGGTCACAGGTTAGACCACAGAGTAAGTTTACCGGAGAAATGGACCATGTATATACCTACGCTGCACGGGCAAAATTCACGATATTTTACCAGCAAATTAAAATCGGCATTCCTTGAACGACATTCATGTTTTAAAACTTTATTCGACTAATTATTAATATCTAAAATCAAAAATTAACTGTTAATCAGCAGAAGGCTGGAAAGTAATGCATACAGAGGACCAGAGGTAACAGAGCTCTGATATACCATGCTGGTTTGTTGTGGTTTTTGGGGTGCCCCTGCGGGGGGAGGGTGGGCGCTTTGTGTTCAGCGTTGGGATTGACGGTGGATTTGTTTACAAGAGGGGCGCAGAAAGTGTTGATGATCTCAGAGCTCTGATGATAAGGAAAATATGGGTGAACAAGTAGTTAAAATTACATGGACATTTGCTGTGTGAAATGTGAAAGGTAAGATGGATTCAAGCCGTTAAGTTTGCCCGTACAGCGTAGGTATATCCACTGCACATTTTTCCGGTAAACTTACTCTGTGGTCTAACTTGTGAACGTCGCTACAGTAAAGCTTTGATTTGTATAACTTTTTCAGTGTTTTAGCACTGTTTCTTGACCAGCTCGAGACTAGTCGGATCATCAGTAAATCAAGCGCCATAAGGATAATTAATGTATTCTCTGTTCGCCGTTTCGCGGCCATCAAGCATTCGTTTGAAGTACTGTAGTTTCTAATGAAGCATCCAACTATCAACTTAAAAATCGAAATTACGTTAACATCAACCATCAAAAATAATCACCTCAGACTGGAAAATTGTATAACTTGAGGCGCCCAAACCGACTATAAGAACACAGTTCAAACTGCTAACTATAATAATACTGTATAGTCTCGCCAGCAAAGCTTTGCGGCAGTACGCTGAAAAGCCTTCAAATGGACAATCACGAGACAGCAAACGAACGTCGTCTAACTTTTCTTCGCATATGGCTAATTCCAGCAAACCCAACTCAGCAACGTGTCGCTGGCGGCCCTTGTTTGGCTACAAAATTCTGGGAATTTTCAATTATTTTAATAAACCTTTTCTTTAGTGCGCTTTATTCCATCAGCTTTTTGTTTTCAACGGTGATCATCCGCAATCCAGGCAACAATATTAACTTGTGCGGAATCTGAAGCTTTTGAGTGCACTCAGCTTGTTATTTCTTCTTGTGGATCCGTGGGCACTTTTTTTTGGGAAAAGAATATTTATGTAATAATCGGCGACAGGAAGATCCAAACAACCAACCGGATACTGAGACTTAGTAGGTGGGCTTTAGCCCCTTTATCCTGTCGGTTGTTATGCCTGTACCTATACGCTGGAGCTGCCTGTTACGACGAAATTCTTACTGGGAGAACAGTATTTGCGGTGGTTGGCAGGTTAGCCTGCGGAATAACATTTTAGTGAACGTGACGCCAAACACCGAGTGCTGGAATGCTATCGCTTCGAAATAAGAAAGACAATAGGAGAACTGTGAACAATCATTGTCTTTTGGTCGCTATTCATTTCCTTTTACGCTTTACGAAATAATTATAACGCGACCAGCACTGTATTTCATGTGGTATTTAGGAAATTACGGTATTTACCGTAATTATCGAAGTAGAGCCCCAGGGTTACAAATATTTCAAACCCTCACGGGGTGGGCTCCAATTACGGGCATGGGCTTGTATTTCGGAGGGGGCTTCAATTTTTCAAACTAGCGTTTTTGGCATTGTCTAATATGGGCTATACAGCATTTAATTAAGGTCATAGGCTTTTATTTCGGGGGGAGCTTATAACTTTCAAATGACCTTAAGGGTGATCTCTAATTACGGGGGGAGCTTATAATTCGATAATTACGGTATTTACATATTGCAGTGTATTTAAATTACAAATTTTCAGTATTATTTCAATTTTCTAGCATTGCTATTTTTTGCGTGTGAAAACAATTTGACAATATTTTAGTCCACGAAAAAAACATGACATCATGAGATGAAATCTTGATTGCCAACTGAAGCGACCAACTGCTGTACCAGGGGCCGCGCTTTAACTGACTGGGAACTGGATGGCACAAAATTTACGACAAAGGGATAGCTCGGCCATACGCCCCATATTCCGCCAGTTACACGAGAGTTTACGCCAACTCCGTTGTATGCCTCGTTCCACCCTACAAAAGGGTACAAATATTGCTACAAATGCAGAATAGTACTCGTACAGTACACTGCACAACTCTTCACGCTGCAAAAGCCAGTTGTGTAGCACCTTATGCCATGGGGTGGAGACGTGGAGTCATGCACGGCTCACCATTTTGTTGGTGACGTGGAGTCAGGCACTTCTCTAGCTATTTTCCCCGGCATTCCAATTTTATCAAACAGTCTGTTCGATAAAAATGTTTCCAGCAGTCTGTTTCCAAGCTTAACGGAAGCCAGACAGCGAGCCGCAATGCTGCCAAAGGGCATTCTCCAACACACAATGCTCAAGGCTAATAATTCCTGCTTAGCCTTGCAAATGCCGGCATCATTAACGATTTTAAATAAGGCTCATATGTGATGTTAATTTTCGTATTTTTGACAGCAATATTACCATCCCTGTTAACGCGGTATAAATTCATACTGCCTTGCCGCTTAAGTGAGAAGCGGCGCACAGTGTACCTTAGTCAAGACTCTAGAATGATCTGTTTGTTGCTGCTGTGCCTGATCGCTGCACTGCCGCAGTGCGCCCCTGACAAAACTGTGGCCACGGTGTTGGGTGAGAACTGCAATGAACTGGCGACACACTGTAAACCACTCTTTCCTGACGTGAAACCCGGGGTGTGGCCAATGGGCGATGCGGATGGGAGCCCGACGCAACCAGCAGCGCAAGATTACTGCCGGTAAAATTAAGATATGCGCAGAATTTTTGCCAGTAAAACTGATGGTAACAGATTCTTAGCCTTAATTTTAAATGTACATGATATTAATAATGATTTGTCTATTTATTAATTTTTTATTCGTCTTGCTGTTTTTTTAACGTTCAGTAAGCTCTGAATTATTTCTTCTTTATTATACCGTTTATGTATTACATTGTTTTTGTTTATTGTACTCATCCACCAGTGCAGCTAAAGATACCGCTGGCTGTATGGCGAAATTTGAAAACACGTGCCTCGGCGATACCACAATGAAAGCTTACCGCAACGAGGGCAGCTTCTATGAATCGCAGATGTGGGCAGCGGAGGCCAAACTATGCGAGAAGTCCGTCAGTCCTATCCGCTATTACCGCGCCATCCAACACTGCGAGAAGCAACGTCCAGGTTTTGAGAAGGATCTGCTAGTGGACCGCAGTGTCTATACGCACGACTCACCAAATCCTGCCGCCGGCAAACGCAACGTCTGCGAGTAGGACCATTAAATCTTTATTAAACACTAATCATATCGTATTATCGTTGTTTTATTAAATAAATTAATAGTCATCTGGTATACATTGGTGCAAAGCGTAAACTGAAAATACGAATATATTAATTTTGTTGCTCTGCATCTACACTACTTATAAATGATATCCTGGTTCAGACTGCACGACTGTGACCGGCAAAAATGTCCCCCCTGTCCCCCCGGACATTTTTGCCGTGTCCCCCCTGCCACCATCGCCAAAACGGTAACCCTTTGGCCAGAATGGTGACACGGGGGACCTGTTAGGGAAACCTAATTTTCAGCTCAATCGGTGACCTTTGAAAAACTGAAACCAGCGTTACCATAGCGTTACTAGCTACAAACTACTCAGAAATCTAGGTTACCGAAGGGACATTGATGTCAGACTGAAATTTGTAATCTCTGGCACGGGGGACATTATTGCCGGAACGAATTACTAGGTGTCCGGCATGATGGACATTATTGCCGGAACGAATTACTAGGTGTCCGGCATGGGGGACATTATTGCCGGAACGAATTACTAGGTGTCCGGCATGGGGGACATTATTGCCGGAACGAATTACTAGGTGTCCGGCATGGGGGACATTATTGCCGGAACGAATTACAAGTTGTCCGGTATGGGGGACATTATTGCCGGAACGAATTACAAGTTGTCCGGTATGGGGGACATTATTGCCGGAACGAATTACTAGTTGTCCGGTATGGGGGACATTATTGCCGGAACGAATTACAAGTTGTCCGGTATGGGGGACATTATTGCCGGAACGAATTACAAGTTGTCCGGTATGGGGGACATTATTGCCGGAACGAATTACTAGGTGTCCGGCATGGGGGACATTATTGCCGGAACGGATTACTAGGTGTCCGGCATGGGGGACATTACTGCCGGAACGAATTACTAGGTGTCCGGTATGGGGTTTAATAATAGTTATAACAAACAAAGTACTGGCGCATCTTATAATGATAAAATGCCGTAACCTACACATTTCCGTTGCAAACCATGCGTTACCGGTATATTGGGGGCAAAACTAGGCATCTTCCACCGTTCGCCTGTACTGCTGCCGTCACCCGACTGGGGTGTGACGTTGTGGCTGAACCTGGCGCTTTCTTACCGCGCCAGAAACAGGTTAAACCATATGTACTGCCGCATCTGCGACCTTACTGACAAAATGACGAGACTACATGAAACAAAGGCGGTACGTAGCTTCCTGTCAATAACCGCCAGCTCCGATGTGTTTAAAATTGCCATCGTTCTCACTTTGTCTTTATTTTGGCCAAATGACACCGGTCAGGCTTCTCCTTACCACGGGTAAACGGCCCGTCATCGGCACCCCGCCACATCGTACATTGTACATCTAATATAGGGGGAATCTAACTGCTGAGGCCGGCACTCCCTGTACTTGATGCCGTCACCCGCCTGGAGTGTGACGGTACGGCAGCAAATACGGTTAAATCAGGCGCGGTACATAAGCACCATGTTTAGCCACAACGTAAAACTCCAGCCGGGTGACGGCAGCAAGTACAGGGAGTGCTGGCCTCAGCAGTTGAATTCCCCCTATATTTACATAGTACGAAACCATGTTACTTATGACTTTTGGACCATTAAAAGACTGCTCAGAAACCTTCTGGGTCTTAAAAAGCCAATTACGTTTTTAAAAACATTTAGGCCAATATTTGTCGAGCCTCGCCAAGGCAGTAACGCAGACAGAGCTTAAGAAAGAAACAAATTTCCAGAAAATTACCATGTTTTTAGGGAAGGCAAAACTTTTTTGGAACATAAAAGTGTGTCACGACTTGAGCTGGCGGTAATATTTTGATATATGCCCCGGCACACTTCTTGATTAGTGCTACTGCTACACTGTTGGCTTTTAAATCATCTCCGTGCCCTTTCGGATTAGATGGCTGCGGAGTTCGTGGAAGTTGCCGGTCATTCACAGACACATCAAGTGATACCACAGAGTTGTTGTACGGATAACTACCCGTAGCACTTGGAAATTTTGTACTGTATTGCCTTGCTTTTGCGAATGCGGGCAGTGTTTACCCTTGCAAGTGCTAATTTCAATACACCAACTCTATAGGATCAGTTGTGACTTGTGAGGATCGCTACAGTACTGACTCTGTACCTGCATTGTACATGTATTGTCGAAGCGGAGTACGTCTGCAGACTAATCGTAAGTAAAAGGTATTCCAGGATACGGAAATTGATAACGCTGAAGCCGCCCAAGTAATAATTGACTTATTCATAACAAATGATTAACTAATGTGAACCAATGCAAAAGGTAAATAAGAATAACTCTGTACAAAATCATCAATTATTACGTATGTGAGTAATGTGACACATACGTAGAACAATTAAAACTACATGCTATCGCGTTGTTAGATTCACTAAATACAAACGGTACCAGTGTAATTACCGCTGCAGCACAGTACTAAAAACGCTGCAATCCTCAGTACTTATGATTCTTGTTTTGATTCTCACCGGCAGTACCAGTAACAGTTTCCTGCAACTAATAGCAAGACGAAAAGCGCTAGTCAAATTAATACCAAAATTCGTATACTGAATTCAGAAATTAATAAGCTTTGTCAGATTCAAAAATTTAAAACCGGAAAAATTAAGATGTTGACGCTATTCTTCAAAACTGGTTCTTGCTGTTATGTGTTTGCACTGGGTATATCGCATTCCAAAAGATGAATGTGAAAATAAAATAGAAGTTTCATAGCTTAAAAATTCTTTCATCCGTTATTATTTCCTCTTCCTGGAAAAAATTTTGAGGCAAACAAAGCAAAAATTTCAAACATCAAAACGCTTCTTCAGCCCCTAAACCATTCCTGACCTCGAGTTGCTAAAAACAAGGCTAAATATGATGAGAATTTGGATAGACTTACAAATTTAATTTCAAGTACTTGCTTGCTAAAACACCGTAAAAACTAAATAAATATGGAAAAACTAAAACGAGTTCCTTTCTGGAAAATAAGCTATTAAACGCAACGCTATATGCTCAGCAAATTACGGCAGTAATGTCCCCCATACCGGACAACTAGTAATTCGTTCCGGCAATAATGTCCCCCATGCCGGACACCTAGTAATTCGTTCCGGCAATAATGTCCCCCATACCGGACAACTAGTAATTCGTTCCGGCAATAATGTCCCCCATGCCGGACACCTAGTAATTCGTTCCGGCAATAATGTCCCCCATGCCGGACACCTAGTAATTCGTTCCGGCAATAATGTCCCCCATGCCGGACACCTTGTAATTCGTTCCGGCAATAATGTCCCCCATACCGGACAACTTGTAATTCGTTCCGGCAATAATGTCCCCCATGCCGCACACCTTGTAATTCGTTCCGGCAATAATGTCCCCCATACCGGACAACTAGTAATTCGTTCCGGCAATAATGTCCCCCATGCCGGACACCTAGTAATTCGTTCCGGCAATAATGTCCCCCATGCCGGACACCTTGTAATTCGTTCCGGCAATAATGTCCCCCATACCGGACAACTTGTAATTCGGTCCGGCAATAATGTCCCCCATACCGGACACCTAGTAATTCGTTCCGGCAATAATGTCCCCCATGCCGGACACCTAGTAATTCGTTCCGGCAATAATGTCCCCCATACCGGACAACTAGTAATTCGGTCCGGCAATAATGTCCCCCATGCCGGACACCTTGTAATTCGTTCCGGCAATAATGTCCCCCATACCGGACAACTTGTAATTCGGTCCGGCAATAATGTCCCCCATACCGGACACCTAGTAATTCGTTCCGGCAATAATGTCCCCCATGCCGGACACCTAGTAATTCGTTCCGGCAATAATGTCCCCCATACCGGACAACTAGTAATTCGTTCCGGCAATAATGTCCCCCATACCGGACAACTTGTAATTCGGTCCGGCAATAATGTCCCCCATACCGGACACCTAGTAATTCGTTCCGGCAATAATGTCCCCCATGCCGGACACCTAGTTATTCGGTCCGGCAATAATGTCCCCCATGCCGGACACCTTGTAATTCGTTCCGGCAATAATGTCCCCCATGCCGGACACCTAGTAGCTCGTTCCGACAATAATGTCCCCCATGCCGGACACCTAGTAATTCGTTCCGGCAATAATGTCCCCCGTGCCAGAGATTACAAATTTCAGTCTGACATCAATGTCCCTTCGGTAACCTAGATTTCTGAGTAGTTTGTAGCTAGTAACGCTATGGTAACGCTGGTTTCAGTTTTTCAAAGGTCACCGATTGAGCTGAAAATTAGGTTTCCCTAACAGGTCCCCCGTGTCACCATTCTGGCCAAAGGGTTACCGTTTTGGCGATGGTGGCAGGGGGGACACGGCAAAAATGTCCGGGGGGACAGGGGGGACATTTTTGCCGGTCACACACGACTTCTACTGTTCGTTTAACTGCAGGACCTTAAAAACGACAGCCACGAAACTGACGGGAGCGTCTAAGGCGGAGTTGACGATGAAATGTGGAGCGGACGCGGTGGATGTCATGAAACTGGCGGCGCAAAAAATGTACTTAGCCGTCTGTCTCAATAATTAATTCACGGCGAACGCTGCTACACTTGGCGGAGTGTCCAAAATTGAGGAGGCGGCGCTACGAGCATTTTGATGTTGCTTTGCCCTTGTACCGTTTCCGTTAAATGCGCAACGCGCTTATCTAAAGTATCACGTTAAGAAAAGTTAAATCAGACAAACGATTAACTACATAAATCTAAGCAAATCCCAGATGTCTCATTCATTGCTCTCTTTACAATGAACCGACTTCAGCGCAACGCATGGACAAAATTACGAAAATAGAAAGCAATTCAGGACAATAAATCTTATGCTTAACGTCGTTTCAGTTTATACACCAAATTCGTAATATTTCGCAGCATGTAATCCATTTCCTTCTTGAACACATTTTCCTTAACCAAATCCGCCATATCGATTTTCTGATCGCGTGTCTGATAAATCAGAATGAAGTAGGACAGAATGGCGCCGGTGACCTATAACGCGCAAAACAACGGACGTTGCATACATAACCACCAAAAACAGTGGACTGTAAGGCTGTAATTACGCACTGTAATAAGGTATTCTTTTGTAACAGAGAAGAATCCGCCCGCAGAAACGGCCACATTCTCCGACGAGGCAATTTCCTGCTGAAAACGCATGCACAGAGTATCCAGCGGGGAATCCGGATGCTCATCGCCGATTGCTTCCAATGTTTTGCTAATCCGTCGCACCTTCAAATTACTATGCCTTTTATAGGTAGTCTTCGTACTAACAAGGTAACTGTCGAAAATGGCAAATATGCTAACAATAAAGTGCAGCGTAGAGTAAAAAGAAATTAAAATTGGCTAACGATCCTCGGTTCAAAAATGCAACCATAAATCAATGGAGTGTACAGCAATAAAAAAGATTCAATACCTTAAATGTTTAGCTCTGGAGTCCAACAGAGAAGCGCTTATCTACGCAGTACGCTTTAAAACGTACTATTTACTTTATTAGCTCTATGCAAAGTCTCGAAACACTCTTAAAAATGCCTCTTAAGCGAAGCACAAAAATACCACGGAATAAAATCCATTATTGTATCCGTACGCTTTAAGATTAACATATTTCGATTCTGGAGATTTTTTCGTAACTAATTTTTATAATTTGGCAAACGAATTACTTGTGCGCTGCATCCGATGAAGACCGCTAGCCGCACCACCACCATAAAGATCCCCGTGGCGCCCCCGTAATACGCGTACGCCGCCGTGCTCCCATGCGTCCCTTCCTTGCGAATCAGATACTCCACCGTATCCTCTCCGTCCTCTCGCTCCACCGGCAGGTTGAGATTAAACGCAATAAATGCTACAATTACCAGCAGATCCTTGACGCAGCTATACAGCACCAGCCCACCGAAAATCTCGTTGAATTCCCGCAGCACGCGCACCGTCTTGCGGAACCCGGTCATGGCGTCGGCGAGCTTGGCGTGTTTCTCCTCCACGTCCACCTGATCACCGACACGTTGCACGACCCGCAGCTGTCCATGAATCCGGCGGAACATTATCGTAATGATCACAACGACCGTTGCAATGAACGCATGCGGCGCAATATTTGCATGCCCCAATACCACGTTTCCCACAATGTTGAGGATGCTGACCACGCGCAGGGAGAAGCTATCCATGTGATTCCACACGGTATCCCGGTGCAGTAATTCCACGAATTCCTGGGTCATCCGGATGGTCATGATCAGTGACAACGCCGGGCAAATTTCCGTCCATATAATCGACAAAACCGCGAAGATCTTCGCGCCTCGATTTTTTGCAGTAGTGCGGTCCAGACTGGCGACTAAATGCTGTATGCGTTTGCTTTGGAGAATCATGTAAATGTAGGCGAAGGGTGCGTGGATGGTGAAGAAGACACGGTCCAGTAGCATGACCATGCTGAAGAATTCCAGACGGATGATAGCACGGTATTGGACGGCGATCCATACTAATAGATCCACGGCGGCGAAGAGTGCGGAGACGACGACGATTATACAAGAGTAGGGAAGGTATAAGCGGCTAAATGACTGACCGGTTAACAGATCCGCTAAGGGATAAAAGCCGCAGCTGCGCAGATAATGCAAGTACCATTTAATCATGCGCTGCGACTGCGGTGGTTTTTTCTCCGCAGAATCCACGGATTTCGACATGGTATGACGATTTTTCCCGTGCTGCGACAAATTTACTGCGTCTGGGTCTTAGAGATGGTTGTGCTGTCTGTTTTTCCTTGCCACAGTAACTCTTCGCCATCGCTTATTCAGAAGAGCCACGCGGTCTTCTGCAGGAAAGCTGCGTCGGCAGTTTCATGAGCGTTATCATTGACTCACCGGATCGTCTATATCTGAGATCCATTGTCATCTGTGGGTGGACGATATTTACTGTCGAGGTCGGAACCATGAAGTAGGATACTTGAAAGTGCACGACTTATACGTATGCAGCAGTATTTGCTTACATGGATATAATGTCAACATGCAGCATACACTGTAGTTTGGATATGAATTTCTGCCTGCAGTTGTGTAAGCACTTGCGTTTGCAAGTCAAACTGGATACTTCAGATGGGAAGAATATAATTGCAGCTGGTAGCGCAAAAGCCGTAATCAAGCAAAACGGGAAAAGCACGACTGCATGCAGCCAAATTTTGATGATACATATTGCCGGCATCAGGGTCGAAATTTTTCTTATCGTTCGCGCAAACAAATTTGCCTGGGCGCGGCCGGCGGGAAAATACCCCGTATATTGGAGCCAAATGGCAAATTTGTGTGTATGCACGGGAGCGGGCAGTATGCATTTGGACATTAGTGTTAATCTGATTATTCGTGCCACATGTGGTTGGGGGGAGATGGGTAAAATAGAATTCCATAGTGTTTCGACGCATGCATTTTCTTGTGTACGAGTCAGTTGTCGTCCACTGCATTGGTTTTTTATCACATAATGTGGATATACAGCAAGGTTGTGGACTCTAAAATGTTAAATAATTGTATAAGGAGGTGGGGCACAACAGACGCGAAGTCACGTACGTGTACAGTTGCGTTCACCGGTAAACAAGTGTTTATGCAATTGTTTTGAACTATCTTCCGTAGTTATCCGTGTCTAAAGACGTTTGTTTTCTACGAGTATGCTTAATTCTCAGCGTTCTGCTGAAGTGGTGTTTCAGCGATTCAGTACTTCGATTACTGCCTTATATGGGCTCCCCTTATATTACTCTCCCTTATCTGGGCTCCCGGGCAATATTAGCAACCCTCTACATGGGCGGTTACGTTATCACTCACACTTTCGCAGCTGTTATCAGTGTTATGACTGACTGAAAATTTTGATTTATTTGAAATGCTTATCTGATAATCAAAAAATATTAATTTGATATGAAATTTCGGCATTTTTCAGTTTGTTCATTGGCAAATCCGGTTGAAATTAACGAAACATATATATAAATAATATGTGTAAACAAAATTGAGATGTGAAATTTCGTAATTCTTTGGTGTGCTCACTGGTTAATCCGGCTGAAAAAAGTAGAAAAAGGTTCTGCTATAAATCCGATAAAGACAATTTGACGGGCATTGCTAACTAGCCGGGAGCCCAGATAAGGGAGAGTAATATAAGGCGAGCCCATATAAGGCAGTATTCGAAGTATCTATCATGTGCGTGTACAGTAAAGATCATTGAATTTGATAAGATTCGACCGTATTCTCCGTTGTGTATAACGTAGGAGATCACGCTTATTATCAATAATATGGTAAAATGGTACAGTAAATAATTGTATAAGGAGGTGGGGAAGAACAGACGCCATAACCTTGCCTCGTACCACATGTTTAATTGAAGGCCCGGTCATTTCGCATTTCGCAAGTACACGCAATTATGTGCATTTTTATATGAAATCTCAAAATATCGGTTTCAACGAAACAATTGGTGCAACTGTTTGCATTTGAATCTCATGGAATTTTATTTTTCCCAAATTTCCATTATGATCCCAACTTCCCATTGACTGTATTTGCAGTTTTTCGTACCAGCCATGTTGCAAGAAAATGCCGCAAAACGATGACAAGTGAGTTTCGTAGTACCCGAAAGCAAGCTTGTTCGTGAAAGTACAGCAACGATAAATATTTTTTGCAGCAAGCCAGATACGGTCTGTAGACCGTGCATTATAGCCGTTGCTTCTTATGATTCGCCGTGAAAATTCACTTGATCGACAAACAGGAAAATATTATAAGCATTTAATCCAGGATGTTTTCGACTTGAAGTGATGCTATCTACTGTAATTTTTTAGATACAGATCAAGCCACCGTTTAAGTTCAAGTTTTTACCGGTTTTCACACGGGTTTAGCGCTTAAGTTAGCATGTCTTTGTTCGTTTGTGGTGCCTTTCTGCTGCTCCACACGGTAAACAATCTGATCGAAGTCGATAAAACCACTATCACGGTCGATCGGCTGCAGATGGGCGATATGTGCGTTGTGTTGTATGTTCGCTCCTTCAAGAAAAATTTCAGTTAATATTTATGTTTGACGGCAGTAGTTCTGTTTCGCCACTGTCGGTTTCAGAGCGCTTAACGGCCGTAAAAGCCTTCTAGCGCAGAAGTTTGCGTCGCCTTTTTATGCCATTACTGCTCTGGATGCGGTCTTGTTCAGCAGCCATGATGTTTCGTCACACCTTCATTTACGGATTGCTTTTGGGACCCTAAAGCAGTCCGTAAATAAGGCGTGCCGAAACCAATTGGGAACCACGTACTTATGCAACTATGGTGCTTTTTTCAGAAGGCAAGTCCAATACAAAATTAGTGTATGGATACACTCTGCACCCGGAACAGCCTCTCATAGCTACCGGACGTGGCTGTACCGGTCATCCGGATTGCAGGACTGTCAGCGTCATCGGACATCGGCGGGAACCACGGTTTCCATTTATTGTCAATCAGATGCCAGGCCGGACGATGAGCTCACCCTCGCCGGCATCTTCTAAAATCGCCCGGAAGCGGTTAATTATTTTTTAGTTTTGTTTTTTCTCAAACTGACTGCTTTATGCTCCTACCAGAAAATATACTGAATTTTCTTGTATGCTCATGAAGCGGTCAGTTTGAGCTTGTGGATTGTGGATTTTCACATGCAAAACTTCTTCTTCGTTCTTGCTTGTAGATTGAGACACGCTTACATACTGAACTAAGACATGTAAACCCGACGCCGCATCGGCACGTCTTTAATAGTCTTAGAGACAACAGTTTCCCTAGACTACTCGAAGTTTTGACTATATCAGAGCTAGTTGCAAAAGATCCTCAAGGAAGATTTTTTGGAAAGTCAGAAACGCATTTTCCGTCGCGTGAAATACTATTCGCCCTAGTATGTAATTGCTACGACGTATCGTTTTTCATGCGACGACCATCGAATTCATCGAGCGGAATGCATTTGCGGAATTGAGTGAACTGCAGGCTTTGCAGCTTGAACACTGGTGGCTGCCACGAGAGCACGGAAAAGCACGCGAAATGGAGTCTCACGCACGGAAAAGCACGCGACTCACGCACACCAGTTGCATTGTCACTGTGACTATCAGTGGATGGACTCGCAGCATGTGTTACCTGATCGCGGCAAAACAGTAACGATATAATATAACATAATTATTATATCGTTAGCTTTTTTTGCCGCGATCAAGTAGCCGGCAGCTTGATATGGGCGAAATGTACCTGACAATAATTGACTGTAAGAACCCGCAGACGAGCATTCGCTCGTGGCCGGTAACCACATAACCGTCGCATCGTACAATCGGGAAAGAATGCCTTTTTCGGTCAACTAGGATCGCTTGCCAAAGAAGTCTTCAAAATATTTCGGCTCCGATCATAAGCAACTTGCTGTCTGTTACTTGCACTTCACAGCTGTTTTAAAGGCTGTTGTTTTTATGAACTATTGTTTTCCGTGCACAGCGAATTTGTTGGTTCCTTTTGCTTTTGCAGCATTAAAACTACGAAAATATCTCTGCATGTGAACAAGAACCGAAAGTACAGTCTTGCGGTAGTGCTCACTTCGTCCCGCTTGCTTGAGAAACTTTTGGTGTTTTTTGTAGCGGGTCCGTTAAGTTAAAGGAAATCGGCACAAAGCTGTTTACCTGAGCTGGAGAAAGCCGCTCACCTTGTTACTTTTCAGCATTTAAGTCTTGTGATTCAACGTGGTAAATTGTAGTACAGTGCGTTTTCGGAACTTCGAACGCCTTGGCCGAAGCAAAGTATTTCCCTGACGGTTTTAGAAGCTAGTGCTACTCTGTAAGTGGACAAAGAAAACGATTAATTTCTAACCAATTTCTAAAATTATTTATTAGTGAACTCTCATGTTTCCTTCATTTTCATTCTTAAAAGTATTTTCATCCCTTTAACAAAGTCTATAAACCTACTCTGAAAATACAGCACCGCTATTGACATGCCTTCGTCTATATATACGTGTGTATATCTATGTACAAGCTTGTCCCGTAATTTCCATCGTAAAGGTACAGCTAGCGCGAAATTTGCGCTTGAAACATGGCCACGTCACTACGCTTATCTGATTGCCTAAATCCGCTCCGTAGTTAGATTGTCCATTACCACACCGACCGTTTCTTAGCCACCTTACGCCAGGCAGTTACTGTTATTCTCATTGAATTATATGGCGTGTACCAAGCTATCAGCCAGCCAAATGCATGTTACGTGTTTAAACAGTGTGGCGTGGCGCGCCGTAGTACGGATTTACGCGCAACACGTAAATTTGTGATGTTCGCTGTTCTGATGCGATGGAAATTACGGGACACGCTTATATGTATATACGTACTTATTCTTGATTAGTATTGCCATTTCGATTAACGCGTTTTAGAAATACCCTTTTTCTATTGATGTCACGAAGCTGATTATTGCAGACTCAGTATTGCACAATAACAAAACTTATAATGTCTGCGGAAGTACGTAACAGTACAGTATGAAAGTCTCAGCAGAAATAATCTTTGTTGGAATTATCAAAACATTTTCAGTTCAACTGGTATACGTATTAAGCTGTCGAAATGATTCTACAACTTACGGTATGTACTAGTATCATACCGGTACACTAAGTACCGTACTACAGACAACGCCACCCATGACCATCAGCCGACGGCAGTGCACTCGTGCTTTAATCCACTGGAAGGGCAACGCGGCGCTTATGTACCCGGAGCCGCCACGGTAGGGTACATCCGTACTTGTGTAACTTTGTAACCCGAAACCGTATTATAAAAGCCCGTTCTTACTCTAGATGACGGTATTATTTTAGGTAAATACATAATGTCTGTCATCGATCGTCATCGCTTGCAGTATCGCTACAGGATGTCAGTGTTGGGAGACATCGTCCTCGTGTAGATTATCCACTCTTGAGTACCCTGATGCGGACGGAACAAGAACTGCACATCTCCCGTATCGTTCAATTTAGCAGCGAGAAAGTTGAAGATACTACTGGCCAGGTCGCCGGGGCGGTTGGGGGGTGGCGTGTGCAGTGTACTGTGAGTGGGTCTTCTGGCGGGCATCAGAGACCCGTACGGCCCATCCTGGGGCCCGGTGATGATGCGCCCGGTCTGGCGTCAGATCAGATGGTAGAGTGCAGTGCAGCCCTAACGCGGTCGCCCACGGCTGCATTCGCGAAAGGAAGTGTCGTGCTCCTCGTAGAAGACGTTGCTGAGACGCAATCAACGGCAGCAGCATGAAGGGCTGCACAACGTGGCGGGGAGTGTGGGCGAGACCGGTTGGTGCGGCGACGCACTGCATGGATCATCGGGAGCCCATAGTAACATTGTAAATCTGGAGGATGAGGGTGCGGTTCTCGCGACTAAATTTATAGGCCTGCCCGTGATGGCATCCCGGAACAGTGGCCGCCCCTGCTTGAAACACCGGCCTGTCCCGGTGCAACTAGATCACTTCGCGCCAGTCAATATCGGCTGGCACATCGCACCGGAAACTTGCATCTTTCCCAAGTAGCGGCCGGTACATCAGCTTATCCATCACATTTTGGCTCGGAGATTGTTGCGTCAAAATGATTCGGTCCTCTTGGCAGCTGTTCAGCATCGCCCCCGCGAATATGCCACACTCCGTGTAGCTAAATGGATGAATCTTCGGATTTTGAAAAATAGCCTACATCGAGCGCGGTTTGGATTTGGATGGGTGACCACTCTGAGTTCAGGCTGCGAGTGCATGGCCCGCAAGGCTGTGTGCGATGTGGTTAGTCGGCATCAGCGCTGACCGTACTGAGTGGCGTGTACAAAATAGTTGTGCCAAGATCACATACCTAGTTTTTGCTTCTCAACAGAAAATCGAAAACAAAAAATATTCGTCATGGTAGGTTCACAAGTATTGTAGTTCTAAATTCACTACCTTAAGTTACCGATTAAAAATGGCAAGGTATCCTTACCTAATAAAAGGTTTTATCATCGAAGAATTTAGCCTAACGCAAATCACCGCTATCCAGTAGCTGGACATCAAAGGGCAAGATATCGATTAGCAATAAAACGAATAATTTTCCTTTCAACTATGCTTGTTACAGTGCGAAAACAAAAATCTGCGGTAATACAACATACCTTTGCAAATGTAACTGAAATCGGAGGTGGGAAGAGCGTTGTCACAAAGCAAAAGAGAAGCGATTTAGACTGACAGAAACGTTAACGACTTCGAAAACTATGGATAGCGGTGATTGGCGTTAGGCTAAATTCTTCGATGATAAAACCTTTTATTAGGTAAGGATACCTTGCCATTTTTAATCGGTAACTTAAGGTAGTGAATTTACAACTACAATACTTGTGAACCTACCATGACGAATTTTTTTGTTTTCGATTTTCTGTTGAGAAGGAAAAACTAGGTATGTGATCTTGGCACAACTATTTATATATGAAACCTTCGCTTTTCGAAGGTTAACACGAATAATTTCGCTTACAAGAATTACTCAGTAATAAGCGGAATGCCGAGAGCTTATACCTAAGGTGGCGTTCAACCATTCCGTAACGGCTTAAGGGTGGGTCTGACTGGCGTTACCCATCCATACACAGTATGATAGTACGTACATGGGAAAAGCCATAAAGTTGACAAATGCATAGAGGTGGTCGCAAAATTTGCAAATTTCTGTTACTTAATAGTTGAATGTCTGCCTTATGTCGGGTCCTTGTGTCACGGGTCGAAATGGTGGCACACCACTACCAGTGTTCCCATAATATGTGGTTGCGGTATGAGTGACATTTAGTGTCAACTTAAACACGCAGTGTGATTATTATAGTAACCAAAACTAGCAGCGTTAACCATGACAGCTGCGCTCAGGTCTGCTAATGCTCAGTTTGGTGTATCGCATTGATATTCAGACTGTATCCAGTGGCAATTTTTTGATGACACTAAATAATTCTCTGCATACCAAATTTATGTCCCAGAGCGGGATGTAGTAATAATCAGGGGGTCTCCAGACGTCTCTCGTAATGACGTGCTGCAGAGACATTCGTACAAAGGTGCATATATGCAGCCGCTACCAGTGCTGGCGCTAATAAGCCCGGCTGCATATAGGCACGCTTGTTACGGTGGCACGGCAGAGCCGTGGTACCGTACAAGTGTGCATACAGTGCATGTGCATAAGTGTGCATATATGCCGCCGCTACCAGTGCTGGCGCTAATAAACCACGGACAATCAACGAACACACTCGAACAAAATGAACACAACATAACGACGAATGTAACATCACAAAAAAATATTATTTCTGTTTTCAAAAGAAATATTTAATATTCATAGGAAAATCTATAAACAGACAACTACGTAATACACGAACTCGGCAGCAACGGGCGGCTGAGTCGTGAGACGTGCACCGCCGTGTAGCACGTTACGTGCCTCTCGGCTCACGGCTCTACGAGAAATTACCATGGAAGCTGTGCAGCACGTTACGTGCTGCAAAAATCAGCACGTCTCCTCATATCAGCCGCTACCGACGGGACCACGGCCGCCACCGGCGGGACGGTACCACGGCTCTGCCGTGGTACCGTCCAGCAAAAATTTTTATTTATTTATTGGCTGATTTATCATTCATTTATTGTAGCCGCTAGATGAAGTGGCTCCACAGAGTCTGGTATACGGGAAAATGCAGGCCCAATATACACACATTGCTCCGTGCAGAATTGTGTTTGATTTCAAACAATTTTCACTCTGATGCTGACGTTCTACAGGTTTTAATGAGTTTCTTA